AGTTCCTTAGCACTAAACAGTTAAAATATGAAGCAAAAGATATTTTTATCATTTCTTGACTGATGCCACAGACATTCCAGTTCACAAAAGATTCTGTGTACAGCAAAACAGTTCATGCCATAGTTTTCCAAATAGAGAGATTTAGAAGACATTTAAATTCACAAATATAGCATACCGATACATTACTTATCAAAACCAATGGCAAATAGCATCAAATTTGCCAATTTTACATACATGTATTTGTTCAAATTTAACGAAAATTATGCTAGTTTATGACATTAAACAATAGGTGTAACATTACAGATATTGATTTTATACTTGTTAATTAAATAAATTACCAGGTAAATTACAGTAAATACTTGTTCATCCTGACAATACTATTGCAAATGAAATTTGAGGTAAACAATCTATTCTTATGTGTGTGTCTGTAATTGTTACAGTAATCTGTAATTGGTTGCTTCATTAATCCAGACAATTTGTTCTGGAACACAGAGGTCTGAATTAATTAGATCTAGGCCCAATCAAACTTCAAACAAGACCTCTAATATGTAAGAAACCAAAACAAAACTCATTTCTTCTGATTGAGTTTTAAAAATAACACTTTAACACCTGTGGAGAAAGCACTGAAATACTGAGAAATCACTAATTTCTGCTGAGGGTTTAATTTTCAATGTTTTCCAAGTATCTAAAGACCCATAAATTCATGACCACCATGAAATGTAACATTTAATATATATATGAATACTCAACACTTCTCCAACCATGAAATCATATCCCCACATATCCATTATTTTTCTCAAACCTCGAAAATTTGACCCCACGAAAATATGTGATTTTACAGTACTGTTTTCAACTATGATAAGTGTTTATAAAATGGTATTTGTAATTATTGCTCCTAAGACTAACCTTTATATACATTTCATAAGTCTCGGTGAAGAAATTCTTTATTCCATCCTCATTTTTCACATCATGAAGCATCATGAATCTCATTCCTTTGATATTACTTAAGGAAGACACACAGCATGTATTTTTTATGTACCGTATAAGTAGAATTCTTAGCGAGAATTTAATTTTGGCATTATCAGCGAGGGTACAGAGATCACTTAAATTGAATATTGCTAAAAATTTATTGCGTTTTATTTCTAATAGGTTCTTATGTGAGCATTTTAAAATCACTAAAATTACATCTCGCTATAAATAAAATACCAATTTTTAAGAACAAATCGCTAAATTTGATTCTCGCTAAAAATTTCCACTTATAGAGTATTTCAAGTCAAGCATCAATACAAAATAACATGTTATTTTAATTGCTAAAAAATTTAAACTTCTGTAAAATATGCTAACTTATAATAAATGTATGTTTTGCTGGATTTGCTGCACATTAACATTTTTTGAAGGGCATTAAAATGCATTTAAAAAGATTTTTACATACTAATATTCATGATGAAGAGCCAATTGTACTTCATGCTATTGATAATGCATGTATTAAAGATACATTATCCAAATTCAGGCAAATTGTAAAACATATTACAGCTATAACAACATGTTTCCATTTTTAATTCAAAATCATAGGAATAAAAAAAAATTCAGAAGCTAAATAGAAAATACAGACAGACAAACAGACAAGGATACGGCTAGCTGTGACAAAGGCTGAGACAAGCCACTCATTGAATTTGTCCACAATTTTAAGGTACATGTTGTTCGTGGTCCACACTTGTTCATCTACCAGATCCAAAGCCTCATGAGCCACGAACTGGTTCAAGTGACGATGGTCATCTTTCTACAAGAATAGAACAAAATGTATGCAGTATACACTGGACATCTGAACTTCAGTAGAAATTCAAGGGCCACAAACACCCATCTTTGCTTGTTGGTTTTAAAAAGTTATTCTTCATCATACAGGGTTGCAAATAAAATTTAAACTTTAGGGGCCATGTGGGCCCCCAACTTTACAAATTTTACTAGCCCACATTGATTTTATGGGGCCCACAATTTTTTTTTTCACTTTGTAAAAAATCTTTTCATATGAAAACAAGAGAAAAATACTTTATGGCCATAGTATTTCTTTTCAAATTCCATGTTATCATTCAATTCAATTTTGTTTCTTTTGATTTAAGTTGTTTCAGGGCATGTATTTTGAATTAGGCTTAAAAAATATTTTATTCTTGTAACATTCCCAAATAACCAAGGGTCGGTATGTATAAATAAAGGAAAACATTCAAGGGCCACAAACACCCATCTTTGCTTGTTGGTTTTAAAAAGTTATTCTTCATCATATTTTTTTTAAAGAATCATCAGCAAGCCTTGAATATGTTGACAATGAAAAAGATTACAAGAACTAGATTTGTTGGGAAAAGCAGGTAACTTAACAGCACATAACATGGTATCTTTAGTTACCTTGGGTTCATTTGCCCTGGTTGGTGGACAAAACTCCATTTCAAAAATTGGATTGTCCAAATGTCCAACAATCACGAAATAATAGTTGCCTGACATGATTTTCTATTCTTTATACTTATGATCTTTTCATTCTCCTAGGTGTGCTGATATTCAAAAAATCTAGAGAGAAAAAAAAACATCAACATAAAGCATAAATTTTCTTTGTGATATTCATCATATAACATGTAACACCCCCAACTCACTTTACTCAGTTTACTGATACATATAAACAACATGAAAAAACAAAATTCAAAGCAATATAACTTTGGGGCAGAGAATTAGACTTACTGATATTATTAAATTCTCTTTAGTCTATTTGCAACCTGATAAATCTGCCTACTTGAAGTTGATAAGTTGATCTTTCTTACTGAAAAAGAGGAAACTCGAAATGAAAAGGACCTCTAATTTATGGTATTTTGATCCCGATTGAAATTAATAGCGAAAATAAATTAAGACGATAAAAGAAATAAGTTGTAGTTACCTTTTTGCTGGTCGCAAAATTTGAAAGGAATGATACAGCAAAAATAACCAGAATGATTAACAATGGAACGATGAATCCTAGAATAGTCAGCATCCTGATAAATCTGAAAAAGAAGATAAATTAAGATATAGTATGTTTATATATTTTCAAATATCCCGATAAAATAAGAGAAACATTCAATGGATCTCCGTCTTTCCGCATCCAAAAAATTTTAATTCACATTCTTCCTGAAGTTACAGATAATTATATAAATCTTTGTAAATACCTAATTTGATTTAAGCCTATCATAATTTAAAGATGAATTGTTGGTCAAAGATTTTCAAATATATGCTGTAGACAAAAACACGCATTAGTTAATTCTAATGTTAATTTTAATTACCGTGAGATACTCATATATTAATTTGTCATATTTTATATAATCACAAGCTGTTCTGATTTTTATTTAGGACAATATTGCGTTTACTCTAACATAACATAATTATTATAATGCATCTTTTTTGGTTTCTGTTTGTTTGTTTGTTTTTTTTTTTTTTGTTTTTTTTTTTACCATTTCTTACTGACCTATTTTTATCCCCTTCCAACGCGCTATGCTGCAAGTGTGAGTACTGGTCTAAATTTGCAGCTCAACACCGACAAGGTGTATTTCGTTTCGGTATTAGATTTTGTGAAAAGTTCTCGAAAGGAAACAAAGCAAAGAAACAAAAGAAGGTGCAAAGAGCAATAACTCTAACACTTGCTTAAATTAAGCTGCCTCTAATTCAAAATTGTTACCCTGGCATGCATATTGTATTGAGAAATTTATTCAATATTGCACTTTAAACGCATTTGAATAATGTCCTTTTAACAAATTTTATGCGATTTTAACAATTTTGTTTACCGAAATTATGCTGTGTCTATGATTTATGCGGACGAATGTACTTCTGGTTGTTTTGTTTTCTATGTCTGTCGCCTACAACTGAAAGCTGGGAAGTATTGGGGATTTATATATATTTTTGAAATTAAAATCAATATTAATAATATCAGACTATATACTAGTACAACGATAGATGTACATTGGAATACTAATTAGAATTACAGGCACTTTTTTCTGTAATTTTTTTCAACCCATAGTAAAATAACAAAACCCATTAAGTATTTATGGATTGAATTTTTGACGGAAATAAGTGTCTGTGGTTATTATGAAGTTAATTTTTCTTTTGTTTCATTAATAACGACAGTATAAAAAAGTTATTTTGATGCCTTATACTTACCTTGATCTTTCCTATAGTAGATTGATTACTTGCTTTTTAAGGAGCAAATGAAGTATTGCTTGGAAAAATACATGTTTAAAGTTTAATATTTTTGTTGTTATCAATGAACCTAAAAATAGCACTAGATATTAAGGTAGCCTGACAGGAAGAAATCTGGAGGTCCTAAAATTTCACCCTAAGAATCCTAAGTCTACTCTATATATATGTAGAGCCACCATCATTAATGAAGATTATACATAACATTTAGAAATATTATAAATTGACACTGCATGGCAATTATTATAATAAGCATAATTAAGGGCGACAAATGGCTAACAACAAAAATTACATGAGTATATATCTATTTAGATTTACATGAGTATATATCTATTTAGATGACACAAATAACAAAACTATTGCGTACAATGTGTTTGGAGTAATTCATATATATAGTTGTATATACTAGGTAATTACGCATTTTTGAAAAATCGGCCAGCTCTTTATAGATTTTTTTTAAAACATGCATTCACTACAATTCAAACATTTTTGAAATGCTCAGTAAATATATAGATAATAAATATAACAACACACAACCACTTACCTGGACAAATTAACCATCCCAGGTGTTCTTAATCTTGACTTTGTTAACAATATTCATGATAAAATTATACAAATCAGTGTCAGTTCTCGCTCGTATGAGAATCAGGAAGTGCTATACAGCAATACAATGCCTCACGGATATCAATATTTATATACCTACCTAACAAAAACATGGTTACATGGTTAGCAGACATATACACTTTCTGGTCGTTCTGAAGTACTAGTGTGTATGCACAGAGATAAACCATGCATTGCGTAATAAATCGGACGACAATAACATTCAATATTGCACATATAGATAAACTCATTATCATATCTTAAAGTCCTAATAACATTCCATATGCTGGGACACGTTTTATTTGATCAAGTATAAATTATCGATTTGTCTGTCTGGATGTGTTTGTAGAAGCGAATGTTTTTTAATGTTTTAAATATATATACATATGTAGTAGGTTAGACACCACCGCGAGACGTTAAGATCTGGGACGGAATGGTGGAATAGAATTTCAAAAAAACCGTGAAAAAGGTGGGATGGGATAATTGGAATATTAAAACACTTTGGAAAAAATGAAAACAAAGAAAAACTAAAACAATACAAAATTATGGGCCACATCGCTCACCTGAGAAGCTTTTACCATTTTTTTCTTTACCAGATTTCATATATTCCCTTGTTATACATAATGCAAAACTGATCCGATTTTGAAAACACTACCCCATGATCCTTCCATGGGCACATATGTTTCAGCTTTTTACATGGCCCAGTGGTTCCTGAGAAAGCTAGAAGATTTTCAAAGATTTTTCCTATATATTTCTATGTAAAACTTTGATTCCCTATAAATGACCCCCCCCTTCCCCACACACACATACACACGGATTTTCGTGTTGGATTCATTAGAATTTTTTTTTGATTTACAACCCCAGAATGCTTCCACATAAGCTTCACTTTTTTAGCCCAGTGGTTCTTTGCTAGAAGAAAATTTAAATCGATTTTTCCTATATATTTCTATATAAAACTTTGATTCCCCATTGTGGCCCCGGGTGTCCCCCGAGTGTCATTATTTGAACAATTTAGAATCTACATTTGTATAAGAACTTAAATTCATTAAGATGCTTCCACATAAGTTTCAGCTTTTCTGGCCCAGTGGTTCTTGAGGAGAAGATTTTCAAAGATTTTTCCTATATATTTCTATGTAAAACTTTGATAATCCATTGTGGCCCCGCCCTTCCCCTTTCCAGTTCATGATTTGAACAATTTTTTTTAGAATCTACACTATACAAGGATGCTTCCATATTCAGCTTTTCTGGCCCAGTGGTTCTTGAGAAGAATATATTTTCAAAGATTTTTCCTATATATTTCTATATAAAACTTTGATTCCCCATTGTGGCCCCACCCATCCCCGGGGGTCATGATTTGAACAATGTAGAATCTACATTATACAGGATGCTTCCACATAAGTTAAATCAAAAATTCTGGCGCAGTGGTTCTTGAGAAGAAGATTTTCAAAGATTTTTCCTATATATTTCTATGTAAAACTTTAAAAGTTTGAGCGGCCCCGCCCTTCCCCCAGGGGTCATGATTTGAACAATTTAGAATCTACATTATATCAGGATGCTTCCATATCAGTTTCAGCTTTTCTGGCCCAGTGGTTCTTGAGAAGAAGATTTTCAAAGATTTTTCCTATATATTTCTATGTAAAACTTTGATTCCCCATTGTGGCCCCGCCCTTCCCCCGGGGGTCATGATTTGAACAATTTAGAATCTACATTATACCAGGATGCTTCCACATAAGTTTCAGCTTTTCTGGCGCAGTGGTTCTTGAGAAGAAGATTTTCAAAGATTTTTCCTATATATTTCTATGTAAAACTTTGAATTCCCCATTTTGGCCCCGCCCTTCCCCCAGGGGTCACGATTTGAACAATTTAGAATCACATTATATCAGAATGCTTCCATATCAGTTTCAGCTTTTCTGGCCCAGTATAATTCTTGAGAAGAAGATTTTCAAAGATTTTTCCTATATATTTCTATGTAAAACTTTGATTCCCCATTGTGGCCCCGCCCTTCCCCTTTCGGGGGTCATGATTTGAACAATTTAGAGAGAGAGTACACTATACCAGGATGCTTTTTACCATATAAGTACCTTTTCTGGCCCAGTGGTTCTTGAGAAGAAGATTTTCAAAGATTTTTCCTATATATTTCTAGGTAAAACTTGATTCCCCTTTGCTACCCCGCCCTTTGTGTGTAGTCAATGATTTGAACAATTTAGAATCTACATTATATCAGGATGCTTCCATATAAGTTTCAGCTTTTCTGGCCCAGTGGTTCTTGAGAAGAAGATTTTCAAAGATTTTTCCTATATATTTCTATGTAAAACTTTTCATTTTTTTGTGGCCCCTGCCCTTCGCCCCAACGGTCACACCGTTTGAACAATATTATCATTAAAACTATACCAGTGATGCTTCCATATGTGTTTCAGCCCCCCAGTGGATCTTAAATGTTATGAAGATTTTCAAAGATTTTTCCTTTATATATTTCTATATAAAAATACTTTGATTCCCCATTGTGGCCATCCACACCCCCAAGGGGGGCTCATTATTTGAACAATTAATTTTAGAATCAACATTATATCAGGATGCTTCCATATCAGTTTCAGCTTTTCTGGCCCAGTGGTTCTTGAGAAGAAGATTTTCAAAGATTTTTCCTATATATTTCTAGGTAAAACTCTGATTCCCCATTGTGGCCCCGCCCTTCCCCCGGGGGTCATGATTTGAACAATTTAGAATTACACTATACCAGGATGCTTCCACATAAGTTTCAGCTTTTCTGGCCCAGTGGTTCTTGAGAAGAAGATTTTCAAAGATTTTTCCTATATATTTCTATATAAAACTTTGATTCCCCATTGCGTGCCCCGGTTTCTTCCCCTGGGGGTCATGATTTTTTAACAATTTTCCCTGAACTCCTCCTACACACAGTAGCTTAATCATCCTTTGGAGATGCTTCCACATAAGTTTCAGCTTTACTGGCCTAGTGGTTCTTGAGAAGAAGATTTTTTAATGACCCCACACTTTCATCAGGGGATATGTCATTTTAACAATTTAAATTCCCCTTTACCCAAGAATGCTTTTTACCAAGTTTTCAAAATTTTTCCAGTGGTTAATCTTTTGGGAGAAGGTTGGGGGTGTCATGAAAATGTGAAAAGTTTACAGACGGACAGACGGACGGACGACGGACAAAATGTGATCAGAAAAGCTTACTTGAGCCTTCGGTTGAGAAGATTTTAAAATTTTTTTCAACTATAATGATATTCTTATATATTCGCATCAGCTTAGTGTATTTTATATCCCCCTTTGCTGCCCAGCCCTCCCTCCCCCGGAATCCTGATTGCAAGATTCAGAAATAAATGCATTGATCCCCAACTACTACCCAATGGGGGACACGATTTTTACAATTTTGAACCTGCATATACATAGGCGGTGGTGTCAGGAATGTGCAGGGTTTCGGGGTTGCCCCGGGGGGGGGGGTTGAAAAATAATGTTTTTCCAAAGAGCCCCCCCTGACCTTTTTTTCAAAGCTAGACATCATATACGTATCAAACAATTGGGCTTTTGGTTTAGCCCCCCCGGGGGGGTTCAGCACGTTGCAAAAAGTGTAGTCGAAGAATGTTAAGGGCCTAATAATGGTAGTGTTTGAAAATTATGTAAAAAAATGGTAACAAGATGTGTTTGTGAAATACCCCCCCCGGCACACACACACACACATACACACGAAATAAGATTTTCGTGTTAGGACATTAGACTTTTTTTTTGGCTTGTCAAGTTTTTCAGGTTCGAAATATTTTTCTCTTCCATTTAGCCCCTCCCCCTTTCAATTTGCGACAATGATATATCGATCTGCTCCTTTAATTTTGGCCTCTCTGGTAAAAAAGAAGATCGGATCCTCACCCTTGGCGTGAGGGTGTACCTGATGATACTTAAATTCATTAAGTACCGTCAAGTCTTATCATGGCCCTGCTTTTGTCGAGAAGAATGAAGATGATTTTTTTTTCTTATATTAGCTCTATGGAAAACTTCATTCCCAGTTGTGGCACAATTAATCCGACAAAATTGTGGCAAATAAATGATTCAAATTACTTCGAATATTAATCATAGACCTAAAGCACTTTACGCCTTTTGAATAATCAAATATTTGACTTTACTACCTTCATATGTAACTTTTCCAGTTTTAATCAATAAATAATTTTTTTTTTAAATAAATAAAATTATTCATAGGTCGTAAGCTTTGATAGTGTTCTTTTAAAGATAAACTGGGACAATTATTTCTTGACTTTCACAATATATAATTTGTTATGGTTGATGCAATTTTTTAATTAGACACTGGTATTTAAAAATTTCACTGCATAACATAACTTTGTGTGAAGTCGGCAAAAATACACGTTATTGGATCGGGATCGAGCAACGATGTAGAGTAAAAGGGGGACAGAAACATCCGACTATAAATATAAATCCAAAAATTACGTGGTAATAATTCTAGAGAAAACAAAATCAGAATTGTTATGAAGAGTTTTATTTAGTAAATTTGTCAGAATTTAAAAGTTTGAGTGACCTTTTCTGAAATCTTCCATAACTTTTGTTTCACAGTATGTGCATATTGCTCCGCAGCGTCAAAATGGCTTCCATGGAATTTCTGAGGAACGCCGAGCAGTGATGCAGACACGCTTAAATTAAAAACACACAGTAAGTAATGTACGAAGCAAGTATTTTTTCATTCTGCTTTTGCGATTTATTGACTTATTCAATGAATCTATTTTGCAGATTTTGCTGTCGTGGTCATATTTTTAAAATTTTGTCTCTGATTGAAATGCAAATATTCAGCATGCAACCACTTGCACTGAATAAGTGAATTTCATGTAGATTCTAACAAAATGTATTTGAAGTTAACTGTACTTCGACTGTCTATGATAAACATAAAAAGAAACGGGAGTTTAAGAATTAAATTTTGTTGATATTCACCGAGTCACTCGATAAAAATACTTGAGTTACAAGCACATGACCATTCCGAATTTTCTCCAAAATAATTACAGTGGAATATTAAAGTATAAAGACTCTGTATAATTATTTGAAAGTAATATGAGAGATTTTTATGTTAGTTGATTTACAATTCATATACCATATTCTAAAACACCTTTCTTTGTGAGTGGTATCTGGCAAAATTGTCCCTCTTGTACTTTATCTTTCTGAAAAAAAGGGTCACATTCAAACAGAAAGAGAGAGAGAGTAGAAAACATATTTTGAGTAGAATCATTTTGATGTTTTTTACCTCTTTCATTTAAAGACAAAATTAAAGCGATGCTCGTGAAGCGAGCTCAATAGACTAACGTGAACAGAGGAAATTTGGAATGAAATCTGTACATACGTCAGGCAAATTTTTCTGTGAAACATTCCCAGAATTCTCCTTTGCTACCCAATGCCCTTTGTGTGAATAAGTAAATAAATAATAATGTAAAGCATAAAAGGCTTTCCGTTTGTAGAAATCTTTAAAAGAAACAAAAAATAACTCTGCAATGTCTTTCGATCAAAATTGCACTAGGTCTATAGTTTCAACCAGACGCTCGGCTGTCTCCATAAGCTCCGACGAGCTCCGTGACATCGTTTTTTGATGGTACAACTGCGCTCGCCCCAACGGTCACACCGTAAAACATATTATCATTAAAACCTTGGCAAAAGAAGTGTTATGTCTTTAATATGTGTTTAATTCCACAATTTTTGTGTTTTGGGATATTGGCCCCTCTTTCCAAATGTTATGAAGATGTATGTGGTTAAGCTCATGTTAATCATTTATAAAAAGTGATTGTCTTGTATATGTAAAAATACAGGGTACTTTATCTTTCAGAGATATGGCAACTGGAGGGCATCATCCATTTAAAACTGCGGCCACAGATCCGAGACCAAGGGGAGGCTGGCAGAGAACTACTAGTGCTTCTGATAAAGATGATAATTTTAGTAATCATAGCAATCAGCTGGAACACCGCCCTAATAACTGGGTAATTAGAAATTTTAAAGACAGGTTTGCCTTATCTAATTAGCAGACTTTTATTTATATTTCCATTATTCATTCTTGTCCATACCCACTGCAGAAAAAAAATCATGTTACGTACATATTGCAGGGCTTCAAGTCTTTTTCATTTTCATGTTAGTGAAGAGAAATATTAATATCACATATTACTTGAGAAGATTTTTCCATTTGCGAGATGCTTACTATTTTTTTCTGTTAAATAATTTAATTGTTTGGAGTGTTTTAATTTTCTAACGTTGCTGTTTTATAAAACATTTTGGAATTTTATATAATTTTTACTCTTGATTCAATTAACAATCACATTAATTTAATTTCAAAGAAATAGTAGACCTGTACTTTGCACCTATCATGCCTGTCACAAAGCCTAATTGATTTCTAGAATGGCATTCTTTTAACTTCATTAGGATATTGTTACTTTTGATGAGAAAAATTATTAGTTTTTGTCAAGAAAAGCAGCATACGTACATGTTTACAATTAGGCTCATAAATATTTCATTGAAAAAAACATTCAGTGTAGTTTCACTTCACCACTTGTAGATCAAAATATTCATCATAATTGGATGTCTGTCCATTATTCTATAGTTTCTATTAGATACTCTAGTTCTGGCTGTCTGTCTCTATGTAGAATATTTTCAACCTAGGACTTTTCTGACTGGAAGCCAAGGGCTCCCATAGATAATACTAAACGCAGAAAGAAAGGCAATCCAGAAAGAGAGAGGGAGCAGTCATTATGTCTCGACTCACCACCCCCCTCTGAAAAAATTCGTCACACGCCTTCTACTTATCCTCGCACTCGAATTACCCCATCTACACCAACCTCTCAAAGAGTAGCTCTTGAAAATCTGCGTCAGCAGTTAACTTTCAGTGATCAAGAAGATGTAAGTATCACTGAATAACTTGGGGCATGCAACTTATCCAAGTTTATTTTCTTGGTAAAAACATGCATATGTAAATGCTCCTGTTGGTATTTTTTAACTCATATAAAGTCATTGGTATTTCTACTTTCTTGCTAGTTGTATCCTTGCTTTTATATCATTCATTCCACATGTTTTTGTTGCTGTTTTCAGTTTACTAATTATCTAACAACAGAGTTTATAATTAATTTGGCTAACAAAAATACATGATTTATCTGCAACAAGAGAATGGCTTTTTTGAAGCCAACTCTGAATAATTTTTGATTTATTTTTCGGTACTACAAATTTACATTATTAAGAAAACAAAGTTTTTATCCATTGATTGATTGAATGATGAATAACATGAATTTTTTTTTTTAAAACATAAAGGATATTATTTTAACCTACTGCATGTATTGTGTAAACTATTAAGATATAAAGTATATGTGTATATAAAGTGATTGAAATTTACCTTAAAATACCTAGACAAGAGGAGCTGACTGTTGATAAAACTTTTCAGCCCCATCAAAGATCTTCTAGCTCCAAAAAAGTACTGCCTTTTTGTCTGTGACAAAGTTTGTGTCTCAGGCGATTGGAGACCATGCCTTTTCAAACAATTGTACATGTAGATGGTAGAAAATGAAATTGTTTGCTGTTTTGTTATTTTTAATGGATTAAGCAGTACTAAATGACTTGACAATCAGGGATATTTTTTATCTTATTAAGGTCCAGAGAATGAAAATTTCTTTTTTTGTCATGTTTCAAAATATCCTGATAGAGAGATCTGAACTGAAAGTTTAAGAATCATTTAACATTCTTAACAGCAGGTGAGCAATGATAGTGGAAAGAACAATGAGAGAAATATGCCGTCAAGGAGGGCCAACATCCCAAACTTTATGAGGCAGGACGTGTCACGCTCCAGTGAAGAGCTGGCACCAACCAGAGAATCAGAACCACGCATTTCACGTAGTATGTACTCAAAGAGTGCTCGGGATGAAACACCAACACTTGATGGGGTAAGATTTCTTATCTATGGGAAACTTTTGACTTTTTTTTGTTTGAGGTCCATTAACATCAAGTGTAGTAAATGAGAGAACTTTTAAGTACGTTAACAATGTAAACAGATTTTCGAATTCCTGTGATTTATTTCAGACTGATGGAGGACAGATTGTTGGGAGACTAATGCAAATTCGAGATTACATCAAACAAGCCAAGTCCATGATGGATGCTGTAAATAAATCTGGTTCTCAGGTAGTATATTCCTTTAAAATTGTGACATTAATATTATAAACTGTATGCAGGGAAAATTTTCCAAATTTTGATTTTAATTTCAACCCTTCTGCCTAAGTCTACAGTGAGCAAAATCAAATGAGACTGAGTTTTATCTATTTGCCTGGGTAAAATTAAAATGGGGGAGAAAAACATAGCAAGTGTAATGGGGCAAAACTAGCATGGGATGAAAATAACCTACCATACAGTAAATATCATTCATATTTAAATGTTTGTCTTTTAATGTTATGTATCTCATCAAAGAAAATAATAGAATACACATGTTTCAAACTAATACATTGTTTTCTGTTCTTGCAGGCTGAGGATGTGGGAAAACTCAAAAAACTGCTGGAGAATTTGCAAGAACAAGAAAAGGCATATTTGTCCCTGCTTCAACAACTTTTGGTTTGTTTCTCATATGTATTGGTCTTTTGTTTGATTATTAGGACTTCAGAATTTCACTTCAGATTTCAAACCTGTTTATAAACCAACCATTGTTACATGATAGAAAGTGGTGATAGCAAATCGGAACAGGAAAATTTTACCTATTTGTTTTGGTTCAAGACCATGAGAAAGGATTATTGCTCGTATAAGCCAATCTTTTTTTATTTCGTTAGTCAATGAAGGAGGACTCGGCTTCCTTACTGGACTCGGTAAACCAGCGTGACCAGCCTACCAGACCAGACACGGCCGAGGACACTCAGTCTGTCGAGTTTGATCTCCAGTCTGAGACCTCAGAGGCAACCACTGTAAGTTATGACACTTTCAATTTAGAATTTAGACACTCAAAAGTTATTTGAAATTTAAAATTTAATAATTTAGCTGTTTATATGTCAAATTACTAGATCATGTTTTTTAGTGGAATGTTTATCTTATTGTCATGGTTATCTTATTGTTGTCATGAAATATTTTGCTTCAAAAGTTAGTCAGATTCAAAGAGGAAAAAATCTATGTTCTTTATGAATCACAATTTTCTGTGGCATCCATAAATGAGAAATCTGAAATAGCAAATTCATTTTGCATTTTGATTTTTCTTAGAGTATGCAGTATCGACTTTTGGTATGTTATTTACAGTAAATGTCAGTAGCACCAAGCTTTTGTTTAAAAGTGAATATGGTTTCTTTAAATATTTGTGTTGAGTTCTTTGGGCTTGAAACAGAAAGAGTGCACAAGAGAGAAAATAATTTCATTGAAATTTTATTGCTGCTTCTTGTTTGATAATTTTGTTGTTGTTCACCATATTCAAAGTAAAGTCAACAAAATTTATGTGTCTTCATTTGGAAAGGCTAAAGTTTGTAATCTTTAATGTCAGATATGTTTACATACACATGCTTACAGAATGACAAATATTGTGATATACTAATGTACGCTCTATTTATTTTTAATTATTGATTAATTTATTTTTTTGCTTTGATTCAAATGATGTCATTAAATTTATATCATATGATGAATTATGAACATGCAATATGACTGATCATTCTATTAAGCAAAAAAGTGGTACATTAAGTACTGGCTACAAACCAACTTTTTTCATGACAAGAAATATCTGAGCATTCAGGAAATATTTCTCATTGCGAATATATTATTCATCTAATGTATTAACGAAGCAGATGGATTCCAAATTGAAGAATAGCAAATAAAAGATGTCGTAAATAATAATTCATTTACAGTAAATCTCATAATTACACAAAGTACTGTCTAATTGAAACAAGGATTTTAAAAAATATATTTTTTTAGTATACTACTACTGGAAAATGGTTCATTTTACAATGTACGTAAAGAATGATGAGATTTCGGTTTATAAATAATGTATTAATTTAAAAGAATTCACAGTCAACCATTACCTCTATTAAATGCTTAAAACTAGAGGTACCGTGTTAAACTAGTCTGATAATAACAGAGTTGTTCATGTATCATTACATTTCATTGCAATAGATGCATATTATTATCCAGTAAAAAGCATCAGGGGTTCAAAATTTTTTTTGTCATGGTCAAGTCCAGGACTTAAAGAGTAAATTTTAGGCCGTGTTATTTACCTATACATCATTAAATTTATGTTATTTATAATTTATTTTCATTTGTTGCATAATAACAGAGTTGTTCATGTATCATTACATTTCATTGCAATAGATGCATATTATTATCCAGTAAAAAGCATAGAATTTTAGATAATTAGACATTAGATCTGTGTTCTTTAGATGCCTCCTTCTAGATAAAGTTTGCTTTAATTTTGAACCCCTGTAAGCATAGAATTTTAGCTGTGTTCTTTGGATGCCTCCTTCTAGATAAAAATACTGGTTGAATGTGCTGATTTTTATCAAGATGGTACTGTTTTTCAGCAGTGATCCAGAATAGCTCCTACAAAATTTATAAATTCTTGATTTATTCATGCCATTATAAAATGGAGTTTTATGTTTTCAGGCCAACACAGAAGATGTTCTGTATAATCAGCTGAACCAGGGACGAGGCAGCAGCCGAGGTTCGCGTCCTCAGATTGAGGAGCGACTTGGGATGTTTGAGGTGGAGGACCAGGATGAGAGGACCTCACTCATGTCAGACATTGAAAACGCTCTAATGCGGAACACTGACAGTTCCCCCAGACAAGAACTGGAGTGGGAGGATGAATATGTAAGTTATGGTGCTCCAGATGACGTTGTATACTGTGGTTTCATGAGTATTCGATGAGCACCAATTTTGGAGGAGTTCGTTGTTGAACCGATCCACGAAATTCAATGTTCATTGAATTAAGAAATATGTTATTCATTTGTATAGGCATTGCTTTTGTTCTTGAAATTACGTATCCTCAAAAATAAGTGTTTTACAAAATACACGAAAATTGATGAAACCACAGTATATCAAAAGCAGTGATGGGATTTTTCTGGGTTGACTATTGTAAAGGTTTTTGTTATTACCAGGGTGTAGATGCTGATGTTGAGGAGCTTGCAGCAGCGGGAGGTGATGTGGAGGGTTTACAGGCACTGCTGTTACAGGAGAAACTCCTCAAAAAATTAAAGGAACAACAAGAACAGGTAAAAAAAAAATGAATAAAGAAGATTGAGAAAAAAATTCTATAGTGTGTAGAAATCTTATATTCAAAGGGATTTTTTTATCTGTCATTCAGATGCAGACTCTCAAAGGCAGACAAGCCGCATTACTTGCCATACAGAAAGATGCAGAAAAGAAATTAGCAGAGGTTCGAGAGCGAGGAAATCAAGGTTTAACTTTGAACATTTCTTGTGTTATTAAAATTAGTATGTTTTTTGTCAATATATTGTATTTACTTCTGCTATGATTTTTGTTCATATTTAATTTGAATATTTTGTGAAACAGTATTGAGAATGATTTGTTTTCTTGTTTATTTTGTTTTAGCCTCAAGAGGAGTACAAAACATCCCTGTAGAGATACCAGTAGAAATTAACAACCCAGGGAGGAATGACTCCTCATCTGAGCTGAATTCAAGGAGAAATTATTTAAGAAATGAGTTCAAAGAACAGGTAAGAAATGGGGTTTTTAAGGCTGTTTATGCTATATATTATAGGAAGTTATATGGCCGTGTGTTTGTTAAAAATATAATAAAATGTAAAATATGAATCACAACATGGTACCATATTTGGCCGAGTATAATATGCATTGATGTAAAATACGCACCCCCCTTTTTGAGTCTGAAACTGGGAAAAAAACGCAGTTCGGATGTATTATACGCAACAGAAAAATTTACCAAGCGATGTTCTGAACTATAAAAATCACGGTAATTTGTTACGAAAATCGGCGCAAGAATTAGGTGTCAAAAATTTACTGAACACACTTTTTTTTAAAATACACACTTTACAACTTTCTCTTAATCCTGACATTCCATATCGCTGCATTATTTATTCATTTATTTCAACAAAGCACAAGATAATGCTGCGTAAAAGTATTAACAGATTTTTTTAAAGAATAGTTACGGTGATTTTGAAATTATGCGTCTCCATATTCTTAGATGAAATGATTTTATTTCAACAAAGCAAGAGATATTGTCGAAAGTTTTATCAGTTGTCATATTTAATTTTGGTTCTAGATAATCATGCTTAAAATTATCTTACAATATTTTAACAGGAAACGAAATTGAAACATCAAAGTATTTATTTCTTTAAGAAGACTACGATTTTCCTCTTCTGAATCTTTGTGGATATCTTATTTTCTAAATGATACCACTTTTATTAAAAGTTTTAGCATAATTTATATTTCATTTCTCAACTCTCAATTATTTAAACAAGAGGCCGATAAGTATAAGATAAGGTAAAATTAGATTTAACAAGTGTTTAATTGTTTAAGTGCCGTAATCAACACATGCTCACCATGCTCACACATACGAAAGGTCATAAACCGACCCCCAATTTTTAACAAAGAAAATAATCACAGCAATTAATATGGCAGTAAATAATCAGTGCTCTAACTGTAAAAACATTGCTTTGGAGTCGGTAGACAATTAATTGCCCCGAGGGGTGTTGATAGGTAATTATCATTTGACCAGTGCACGTGTGTCACAACATTGGCTTTTGGGATATTGTTAATATTGGCAACTGAGTTATTTTAAACCTAAAATTAATATTTATTTTATTGTATTTCATTAAAAAATTATTTATTACTTTGTGTGGTGCATGTGCACTATCATTCCGGAAGCACGTGACATAGCTATGAGTGAACGTCTAAAAATAACATCAGTAATGGCGGCCTCCTTGGAGACAATCAACATGCAGCTCAAATTACTTTTAACTTACTTTTTCATGTTATTTGGGCATAAAAAGATTATGAAAGTGACATTTTTAAGAAGCATACCTTCCAACAATAACTTTCCGAAGTTTAAAATATGGCAATTAACAAAAGAAATTGCATATGTCTCTAGGTAATACTACGGTATGTACGTATGATAGCCGTGTTTCACCTGAAAGAAAAACTTGTCAAAATCCCATTGTGATGTAAAATACGCATCCCTTTCTCACAGAAATTTATTTTAGGAAAAAAGTGCGTATTGTATTCCCCTAATTACGGTATTTGAAACAATTTTTAAGATTCAGAGCCTTAAGGAAATGAAATCTACCCACTGTGTGTATTGTGCTGAACTGTAATTACTACATATATTTGCTATATGGGCTTCTCTAATTTTTTATTGACATTTTGATTTACAGAACACAGATTTAATGGAGAGACAGAGTAATCCGGAGGTAGAGGCGGCTGCCGCTGCTGCCACCAGTGCCCTGGAGGAGGACAGACAACTGCTGAAAGACAAGCTGAAGGAACTGCAGGATAAGAAACAGAAAATGGACACCCTGCTGCACGAACTGAACTCCTTACGTAACGAGAGGAGCGAGGTCATGACACAGCTTAATAATGCTTCAGCTAACATTCCTCAGGGTAAGGAAAGTAGTCATAACAATATGGTGGAGGGATTTAAAGTTTAGTTTTTAAATGATTTTCCTAAATATTATGTCTTTGTTTTTTTTTTTTTTAAAGAGAAATAAATGAAATAATGCACAATGCATTTTAATCAAGTGTACTGAAATATTTTTGTGTGCATATTTCATTTGAAGCAAAATTTTTTAAAAAGATATGTATTAAATTTAAATGAAGATGAAGGTGTTGTTATTGTCCTGATTTCGTTATAGCCAAAAGTTTGCCTCCACCTCCAAGACCCTCTGCCTCTGGTGTACGTTTAAATGCAGGAATAGCATCATTAGCAGAGGCAGACCAAACAGCTGCTGAGGCTCAGGAATTACAGAGTATACTAGAGGCCAGGGAAAAACTCCAGTATGTTAACAATCCTTGTTGTAGAATTGAATATTATGTATGAAATTAAACATTGTCTAAAAAAGTCTTTTACATGTGCCAGTTATGAGGCTTATGATCAGTGCATTTGCTTAGCTATGCTCATTGTAATTTGTAAGTGAATTTTTTTTCACAGAAAGCTTCAAGAAGTAAAGGAAAGGCTGAATCAGCTTCGTGGACTTGTACAGTATTACCAGACTTCTACTGCTGCTGGGGAAATTCCTGCTGTGGATGAAAGGACAGCATTCCAGAACATGATAGAGGGATATGGACAGGGAATACCTGCCCAAAACATTATGTATGATATTACATGGCAGCTAACTTATTGTCATTATTGAAATATTAGTACAAATACCAAAACTAATTGATTATAGGGTTATAGTTACATTCACTAAGTTTTTCAAGTAAAGAAACCAAAAGAAAGGTGGAAATGTAAGGGTTATAGATAAATACTGTGTCAATACGAGTATTTATATCTGAATCAGAATACTGATCAAGAATCGCATGTAATTTTGTAAAATGAATTTTCTGTTTGTTGATTTGCAGACAAAGTCAGGCGTCTGGTGGAGTAGAACCCCAGGCCAGCACTGTATCAAAGTCAGATGAGGACAATCGCTCTCAGTCGGACAGTTCAGAGTCCGAGTCCAATCTCTCTAGTCTGGGACCCTGGGGAGATGACCCAGAAATACAGGAAAAAGTCAGGTAACTGTTCTGTACAACCACAAAGTGGACATAACATTGAAAGAAATAACATTTTGTTTTAACTTATAATTTTATGTCTGCAAAATTTTTTTATTTAAATACTAGGTAAAAATACATGAAAGTAAACATGTTAAAAGTCATTTTGCCATGGGAAGGAAAGGCATGAAACATTAACATTATTTTCAATTTCAGGAAACTGAAGGCTGCAAAAGAGAAACTGAAGCAGCTTCAGGGCATTGTGTCCATGGTACAACATACACCAGACGCAGCACAAGCTCTCCCTGACAGTATTACAGAACTAGCTGCCACACTGGAAGTGGCACAGCCAGAGTACACTGAAGAAGACGATAAAAATGAAGCAAGTGAAGGGGAAGTGCCAAACAGAGCAGAAAGGCAAGTTCTTTATCAGGTTCCTAAAATTGAATGCAAGATTTTGTAAGAAACATGAACATTCTTTGAAATTAGAAATGCCATCAAAGCATGATCAATCCAGTCCCATTTCTAACAACATTCATTATTGTGTTGGGAACCTCCCCAAAGTCTTGGATCTTGGTAACAGCTACAAATATTACCATTGTACAGTGTAGAAAGAAATCATTCATAAATATTAGTGTTATTTTCAGACCTGTTTACTCTTATGATTTCGCAGTGTTTTTTACGGATTTTTAGTCTAATATATGTCTCACGTTCTGCCATTATGAAAATACAGAAATACGTCAGTTTGGAATTTAACAGTTAATTTTCGTTATGATCTGTCTTAGTTTCATGCTTTTTATCGCTAAAAAAGAAAAAGATTTCAAACACATAAGTGATGTCAGGTTGCCAAAACGCTGTGGTATTATAAAATGACAAAGACCATGTTGTTAAACCATGTTTTTATAATCAGAAAAGCAGTTGTTCTCTATTAATATATATAAAATTGATGGAAAGTGAAATCCTACTGGCAAATGCCAAATCTCACGGACAATTCTAATAAAAAATACTGAGAGATAATGATATGGGTAAACAGGTCTGTATTTTCTAACAAGCAGACAATCCCAACTCCAAGAATTTATCCTTATTGACAGGAGTTTACTAAAATACATGTACATTAAAATTGTTTATCTGACAGTTGGTGCTCCTTATTTTAGAGATTCTTTCTATGAAGCCAAAATGCAGGAACAACTCCAAGAGCTGGAGCAGCTGAGGGATGAAAGACAAAAGTTACTGGCAATCCAGCAGGAGTTACAGTCCCTGCATGATAGATTCACTGTGGTAAAGTGTTTTGTCAAGTTTCCTCAAAGTATAAATCCAAATGGTGTAAGAATTACATTACACTAAGTTTAGTTCACTTGTGAAACTTGTTTTTAAAAAAGTGAAAATGTTTATGTATTACAATTGCTCAATGTGAAGTCTGATTAAAAAAGTTGTTATGTATGATATAGGAGAGAGAGGAAGGTCAGGAGGAGGAGGAGGAGACTGAGGTGAAGACAGAGAAACCCAGGAAACAGGAGGACACGGTGGACGCCTCAGCACCTCAGGACGAGGAAGTCAGCAGTGAACGGACACGCACCAGTGTCCCCGTAGTCACATGTAGGCTTATATCTCACACAATTGTAATAATGTTAAGGTGGCTCATTACATCCACAGTTTATTTTAGATTTCAATACAGCACCACTTATAATGTAGATGTCAAATATCCAGATGGGGGTATTGATATCATAAATATTTTTTATAGAATTTTTTAGTTTTTGTTTTATTTTAGTGAAATGTTTTATTTCAGGTTTATTATTCACAGCATTTCAGAACTTTCAGTGCCAAATGATGGGCATCTTCTTAAGACAAGTACACACAGTGAAAATACCTCATAATACCTAATAATAATTTTATTAGAAAAAATAATTTTCTCCTAGAAAACAATTAATGTCATTATCTTTTTAATCTATGCACAAAAGATTTTAAAAATGTGTTCTGAAGAGACAAGGAATGTATTTTAATGAATTACATGTGTCAAATTGAATGAAAAGAGTTTAAACGAAATGAAAAATCCAATTTAAAAAATATTTGGTATAAAACGTCCACTTTCAAGAGTTACCTTTCCTAAATAGCCAAGACTCAAAACACTATGGAACGTTTGACATTACATCTAAAATTCAGAATAAAGCTTTAAATTGCCAGAGTATACATTTAAATCAATAAAACAAATATATGAATTAACACCAACACAGTAAATAGCGCAATTAAATAAAATTTTATTTACAACAAGGTTGTAGATTTTAACTCGAATTTCCTCCATACATACATGTCAGTGATTGATAGAGTTCCCTGCATGCATGGCTATGAAATTGACATTACTTGTTTGGCGAAGATTTGACTGTTGCTTTCTTTTTTTTCTGCCTAAAAGCAATTCTTCTTGGTTTATGCATAATGAATCCGTTACTTTGTTTTTCACTGTTTACAACACCGCATGTTTCATCTATTTTTAAAGCGTTTTTTAAAGGTCAGGGTTTATCCATATAACTCGTCCCCTGAGCAAACCGATCGACACAATGGAGGTTTATTTTTTTGTGTAGTACGTCATCAAAAAGTGGTGTAATGAGCCTCCTTAAGTGAAATGCAGCTATTAACGTCATCAAAACATTTTTATTTAGACTAGAATGATTATTTTAGATGGTGACTTTTGAGATTCTTGTTTTAATAGTTTCCTCCAATGATGAAGTGTATGGTAAGATGAGAAAACAGAGGATGCTGAGAGAGGAGCTGAGACAGAAGAAGCGGGAGCTGGAGGCCATTATGAAGAAAGACGGCAGTCGTAAGCAGTACGGCAAGAACCAAGACAACCAGAGTGACACTGTCTCATACACAACAGATGCTTTCGGGTAAATTTCTTTTCAGTGTCCTACGTAGAATTAATGTGCATCAGATAATCTTCGACCTACATGATAATCTTCGACCTACATGTAACATTGTGTGGTAGATTAATGAAACAACATTTTTATATAATTATTAGAATTCATGGTCTTGTCAAGATTTGCCCTTAGTATGCTTTTGAAGCATATTGCTTAAAAAAATTGCATTGCAGGTTCATATTAAATTTTCGTATAAGGAAGGCACAATAAAAAACTTGATTTACATCACTTTCATGGTTCTAAACAAGTTCTAAAATTGCCCTAACTATACTCTTCAGAGTGAGTGCCAGTGCTGATGCTACGATGGCTACCTGGGGGGGATCCACGGTGGATAATCTGGAGAGTATTACAGAGGACGATGACGGACAACAGGGAGCAAACATGGAGGAGGAGGAAGATGATGGTCAGTCATATTATCTGTTTTTTAAGTGGAGAAATCTTACACCCAGTCAAATAACTGTTAACTTACTATAGACATACTTTTTCCACGGGGTTATAATTCTGCAGAATCTTTATTGCTGTTTTAAATATTCTGTTGATAGAAAATTATTCAGATTTCTTAAGACTCTCACTATTTGCTTTACATGTATACTAAGTAAGATGGGACAAATTTCCGCAGAAAATGTGTGACCGTGTACATAGCAGAAATTTATATCTCATGGATAAAGTACTTTTACAGTATTTGGATAGGATTAAATTCAAAAAATAGATTGATAAAATTTATAGGAAAGATTGATTGAATGTACTTTAATATAACAGTGAAGTACAACACAGAGGGTTATTTTGTAGGATATCCCAGTGATGGTATTTTACAAGTAGAAGAAGAAGAGGAGGAGAATGATTCTGACAACAACACTTACACTATAGAGAATGACGTCCGACAGCGAAGACAGGCCAGGGAACAGCAGAGGAAGAAAATCAAGTCATCCAAACAACAGACCTTCCCAAGGTCCAAGGATGCCAAAGGTCAGAATTTCAAGATTATGAGCTACAGTTGTAACAAATATGTGTTTTTTCCATTCAAAGTTTTTTTTTTAACCTTCAAAAATTGTGTATTTTAAACATTACAATTATTTACAGGGGCAAGGCCAAAGTCCTATCGCAGGAGAATGAAACAGGAGGTAGCTTTTAATATACTAGTATATTATATATTTCTAACAAACTTGAGTTTTCACTATTGAATTGGACACCTCTTCCATAGGAAAAAGCAAAAAAAAATAAGAGGATTGAAAAAATACAAAGTTCATAGGGATTTTGACAACATACAACTGGTTTTTCTAAATGATTTGAGGTGATTAGTCTCCTAGTTCTTATTAATGGAGCTGTTTTTACAGAACTACAGAGCTCCTGAGGATATCATTCAGGATGATGAGGACAATGGCACCCCCATGTCGTCCCCGGGGGGAGGGTACGATAATCTACAGCAGCAGCTGGAGAGGACAGCCACCCTCTGTCAGAATCTGCTGGCCAATCAGAGCAGCAGTATGATGCAGGCCAACCTTAACAATACAGGTCAGAAATGACGTTAAAAGTTGAATGTTTTTACTTTTTCGTGTGGGCTAAAAAATGATAATACTTCTCAAATCTCAATATTATTCTCATATTTACAATTTTTTTTCAATCAATTTACATGTACATCTGTATGCTAGATGTACTGTATTATGTTAAGTAAATTATTCAGTATTTATAATTTTATGTATACTATCAATATTTTTACATGTATATCTAGTAAAAAAAATCCAAGGTTTCGGTAAAGAATGTCTCTCTATTATTATACTTTGATGCAATAGTTTTAAGGAATAGTAATTTTACAAGAAGTAAAATAATCAAGAGGGCCTTAACAAACAGGGATTACAGGAATTCTGCTAATGTTTTCAGGCTTTGGTCTTCATGGCCCTGACCCTAATACATTACAGCAGCAATTACAACAACAACAATTAATGCTGACCTTAAATCAATGCCTACAGCAGATAACCATGCAGCAAGTGGAAATGCAGAACATGCAGAGACAAATGCAGAATCTGTCTTTAATGTTTGAGCCCTCGGTCCTGGACCCCAGATTCCCTGCCCTGCAGGCTCCGTCAGAAGACCCCACAAGATACAGGTCCCACACATCCCTGCCCTCAGGGCTTGACTCTAGGGGCCTAACTCCAAATGCATCAGTAGGATTCAATTTTCAGCCCAGACCCATTCCAAACAGAAGTAACGAGAATCTGCTGCTGAGTGAAGCTGCTGGAGGGATCAATGTCACAGAGGTGTTTGCATACAACAGACCAGAGGCTGCGGAGCAGAGTAACGTAGAACAACATCGCAGAGGAGTACGTAACAAGAGCACCTCTGTAGGACAGAGTAGTGCTGACAGGAGCGTGAAGCGTAAGACGTCCAGTCTCTCTGACCGTGGCCGGAGACAGACGTCGCAGGCACAACAGTCCAGTTTTACCGAGAGCCCTGATGTAGTTCCACCTCTCAACTTACAGGAAATACTCAGGAGAAAGAAAATGTAAGGCCTAGTTTTCTAGCCATTTAAAAAAATATATTTCTTGAATGAATGATTTATCTTTCATGCACATAATTTTCATTAAAAAAACATAATAATGAGGTCACAAATACTTGATTTACAGGCAAGGTCAGAATACCCAGAGTGAATGGTCTACTATGTCTCTTGCCTCAAGTAAACATGGTAAGTATTGAGGGCACTGGTTTCAGATTCTGATTTTTTCTTTACTTTTTGTTTTCTTGCAAGTTTAACCTCATGTTTTTCATAAATTAGGTGAGAATACAAGTCCAGATTCCAGAAGCAGGGGGCAAAGAGGTTCAGGGGTCCTCAATAGGGATTATCGCCCTGGTCTTAGTGCAGGGATCAGCGGGGCGGGGTTCCAGTTAGAAAACAGCAGTATTGCCAGCACTGTATCCAACAGATTGCAGGCTGAATCTCGAGCACAAGAAAACATGGGTCAAGATTTCAGGTAACTTGCAAAGCACACAAAAAAGATAATTTAATGACAATGAACAAAATACAGAGAATGACTATTTTAAATTGTTAATGTTAAAAAAAAAATCATGATAGAAAAAATTATTTAAGGTAGTTTTATAAAATTGTATTGTTAGTGATTGTATGTGTATGTTAGAAATATTATATAAAATACATACAAAATATACAGTAAAGAGTAGATTCATGTCCATGTTCCCTATCATACCACCTTGCTTGTATGTACAGGAACATTAAATATCTTGATTTTCATTGCAGTCTTTCCAATGAGCAGACTGAGTTTTCCCTGTTTGAGACTCTGAGAGAATCCATCTACTCTGAAGTAGCCAGTCTGATCTCTCAGAACGAGAACAGACCTCACTTCCTGATAGAGCTCTTCAGGGAGCTCCAAGTCCTGACCACTGACTATCTACGTCAGCGGGTTCTCTACAGCATCAGGGACATTGTCTCAAAGCATCTAACTGAACAGGCCAGCACCAATAACTCAGTCCTGGAAGCAGTGAGTCAACCCTTAATAAATTGAATAATAATGCATACAAGTACAGGAAAACTCATTTGGTATGAACACGGATATTGCGAATTCACAGATATACCAAAGTTACCTAGGATTCCCAGCTATATAAATTTAACGAATTCCTTATACGGGTGTAACGAATTACAGATATAGCGAAGTAATTTCAGAGGTCCCAGTGACTTCGTTATAACCGAGTTTTACTGTAATTACATGTAGTGTAATTGTGTTTGATGATGTTGATGTTTTTTGGGGTTTTTTTTGAAGATTCAGCACAATGTTCAGGAATGAGGATATGTAAAAATCAAGATTTGGAATTTTGAAATATATTCACACATTTTTAGCTCATCTCAACGAAAGTGGGGGAGCTTATGTAATACCCTCGGCGTCGATGTCGGCGTCCCAGGTTAAGGTTAAGTTTTTTGGAGCAGTTTTCTTTATTAGTACTTCTATGTCCTATATTGATTAGACGTGCATGGAAGATGTTTCTTGTGTGTTTCATTGTACCAGTCAAAGTTTCAGATGCTGCAATTTCAGCAAAGGAATGACCAGATTAATGTTTTTGAAACAGGTTAACATTTTTGGTGCAGTTTTTATACGCCCGTCTTAAGACGGGATGTATTATGTTATAGGCTTCATTCCGTCCATCCGTCTGTCTGTCCATTTCGTGTCCGGCTCATAACTTCAATACTATTAGGCCCAGGATTATCAAACTTTGTCAACTGATACTTCTTGGGTAGACGGTGTGTCGCACACAAAAAGTAGGTCGCTCTGACCTTTAATAAAGATGCTATGGCCAAATAAGGAAAAATCCTGTCCGGCTCATAACTAGAAAACTATTAGACCTAGAGCTTTCAAACATGGCAAAAGTAAACATCTTAGGTAGAAGGTGTGTTGTGACCTATTTCAAGGTCAGTGACCTTTGATTTCAGTGAAAAATTTTTAAAAACTAAGTCTTTTAAATTTTAAATTTCATAATCCTAAAAAAAATATATAAAATATAGTTGTATCCTTATTAAAAAGTGTTAAATCAAGTAAAAACTTATTTTTTCATCACATACTTTTCAGCAATCTGTAACAAATGTCAATGTTAGGCCATTTAAATTGCTCATCAATTTTTTTAAAAATAGGCGGGCGGGTGGCTTTTACATATTTTTTATTTTTTCAATTTTGCAATTTTTTATTGACTTGCTCAACAAATGTCATAGTAAAGGTTAATGATTTTATTATGGCCTTAATGAGAGGAATTCAGTTTTTCCCATGGGTATAATTATCAAGCACCGGTCAAGAAGAATTTTGATAGCAGAAATTTGCATGTCAAATTAGAGAGAAATTAATGAGTTTAGTGTGAGGAGCTTCTCTGATCAAGCAGGTGTTATCTAAATGACCCTTGGGAATTGGGCAAATGGGATGCCAGCCTGTTGGATTAAAAATAGCTCTTGTTGGCTAGCCTAAGTTTTAAAATGAATTTGATGAAAAGTACCGGTAATTAAAACTGATTTGATAGTGCATAATTAACTAATCTGATATTATATAATGAAATATTAATTTAAAATCCAATTCTAAGGGGTCGGGTTGAATCAGCATGCCTACTTGTTCATATGAATTAAATATAAAACCTGTCTGACATTAAATCTCAAAAAAAAAAAAAAAAATCAATGAGTATTTTATATGTTTTAAAAGTGTTTTAGGGTAGAAAGTGCAGATCCATTGATATCTTTGGAGTAATGAGGCCTAGAAAAAAAATATGTTTGTTTCCGCTTTCCCGACCGACCCTAATTTATAGTGCCGACCCTAAATTTTTTTTAATGCTTTTTTCCCATGATGTGCAAGATTTCAACCAGGGAATTATAGCCTCCAACTCTGCAAGCTTTTCAAGACAGAAAGAAGTTTGGGTCACCTTTCTATTATAAGTTAAGTCACAGTAATGCTTGAAAACACCATTTCTTTTGTCATTAATAGAGAGGTTTAGCAATCCAACGTGTACGTGTACGTGTAGCACCAGAAATATGTGCATTACGTCATCACTTTTGCTAATGACGATTTTCTACACGTATCCTCTTACGCAGGTTACGTGTAGATTGCGAAGTACACGTAAGTCAAAACTTGTAGCTTATAATTCTTTAACTGCTGTTTATTTTTCAAAAAGTGTGTTTCTGTAAAACCTGAATATTTAATGCAAATACTGAAAAAAGAAATGAACGTTAGTAATTGAAAAACATTAATTTATAGGGAGTTAAAATCACAACATCTAGATTTTCGAAACAGGCTTTGATCGATTAAAAATATAAGAAATCTGTACAATCTTTTTCTCATAAGTACGTGCATATATTTATATAAAACGGTCATATACGTATCAAAATCATTGCTTTTTTGGGTGATTTTTAAATATAAACCTCTTTTACATTCAAAAACTTACAAGTACAAGTACAGGGTATACTTTGCTAAACAAGAAAAAAATGTTAACGTGTACGTGTAATTCTAACTTGTAGTTTACACGTACATGTACACGTACAAGTGAGCTTGCTAAACCTAATGTTACTTCTATACACATTTTGATTAAAGAAGCAAAAAAAATTTTTTCAAAAAAAAAAAATTGCCCATCTACCTACCCTATATTTTTTCAGCCTGAAAGCGGAAACAAACATATTTTTTTCTAGGCCTGAGTAGACAAGCATCCAGTCAAAGATTAATTAATGAGTTCAATGTAGGAAGGCTAGCTGTCTCAATCATTTCTTTAGAGCATCTCTTATCTGTATCCTTTGGGAGTTAGTCAGAACTGCTGGTCAGTTTATAGCATATGTCATTTGATGGCCAGTCTTTATTTTCAAAATTAATTTGGTATAGATTAAGTTGTTAAGACTAATTATATATTGTTTAATATGATGGGCATTTGACAAAGTCTAACTCATCCAGTATAGAAATCTATCAATGATGTAATATTTGATATAATGCCTACAGCACAGGGGATGGATAAGCAAATATTTTAAGGAATGGAAAAATCATGGAAATCTTAGAATCAAGGTTGACATGATTTTCTTGCACTCTTAACTGTTTAAGATAATTGTAATTTTTTGACGGGCGTATCATGCTGTGGCGTGGCACTTTATTGGTGTAGGTCTCATTTCCGAGTAACTATAAGCCCTATGTTGACCAAACTTGCATGGATGGTACATCTTAGAATGCACACTATCAGGCTTGCTTCGGATGCTGAATCTGACCTACATTTTCCGGTTGAGTGAACAGGTTTATGTTTCGGTGCAGGTCTCATTTCCAAGTAGCTATGAGCAATTAAGTGACCAAACTTGCATGAATGATACATCTTAGGATGCATACTACCAGACTTGCTTCGGATGCTGAATCTGACCTACATTTTCCGGTTTAGTGAACAGGTTAAAGTATTTGGTGCAGGTTTCATTTCCAAGTTACTATGAGCCCTATAATGACTAAACTTGCATGGATGATACATCTTAGGATGCATACTACCAGACTTGCTTCGGATGCTTAATCTGACCTACATTTTCCAGTTGAGTGAAGAGGTTAAAGTATTTGGTGCAGGTTTCATTTCCAAGTTACTATGAGCCCTATAATGACCAAACTTGCATGGATGGTACATCTTAGGATGCATACTACCAGACTTGCTTCGGATGCTGAATCTGACCTACATTTTCCGGTTGAGTGAACAGGTTAAAGTTTTTGGTGCAGGTTTCATTTCCAAGTTACTATGAGCCCTATAATGACCAAACTTGCATTTCCTTAGGATGCATAACTTTTTTCCGGTTGAGTGAAGCCCAAACTTGCATGGATGATACATATAATTCCGATGCTGAAACTTGCATGGATGATACATTTTGGGATGCAAACTTTGAGGCCATCCTTGCAAAAAATGTTTCTTTGGAATTGCTGGCTGCCTTCGGATGCTGAATCTGACCTACATTTTCTGGATTAGTGGAAAGGTTAGTTCTTTTATACAGGTTTCATTTCCAAGTAACTTTGAGCTCTATGTTGAGCAAACTTGCATGGATGATTTATGCACACTAAGGCCATCCTTAAAAAAAAATGTTTTTTTACAAATTTAATTTTTTTACAAATTGAAGCTAAATGATATAAAATAAAATTTCAATGAACAGTGGTAATTTCCATTTATTATCCTCTTTCTTTTATTTTATTAATATTATTTGGTCTTTTATTTTACACAGAACGGTAATATTATTCTCGTTTAGATGTTAAGATTTTTCATTTAATAATAGTTACTGAAAAACTTTTATTCGCGACAGATATACACAGATTTACCATGGGTAAACTAGTTCAAATATTAATTTTTAGATCATTTAGATGTTAAGATTATGTTCATTTAATAATAGTTATATTTCAGCATCAAACTTCTAGTTTATTTAAAGAATCTTATTTAAACAATACTTTTTACAGACTAAACAAATACTTTTAAAACAATGCTTGTTAACAGTTTGAACCACACAAAATTTCTTATTTGGGATGTTTTGTGTAAAACCGGGATAGTATTTCTCTTCAGTTTTAAATTTATACCCTTTTTCCTTTGTTAAAACATTATGCTTGCAAACAGTTTGAACCACACAAAATTTCTTAGGAATAGTTGGGATGTTTTGTGTAAAACCGGGATAGGGGGTATGCATACTCCACCGATAAAGTCCTTTCAAACGATGGCAAGGTCAATGATCTTGTGACCTTGACTGTGACCTATATGCTAAAAATAGCTTTTTACACTTTTTGCCATAACTTTTGAACCATAGGAGATAGGGACTCATATTTGGTATGCATTTTACTTTCATGACACCATGTTTTAACATTACGTTTCAAAAACTCTGTACACTTTTTGCGATAACTTTTGACCATAGATAACATTTTTCCTTTGGTATTTGGGATAAAACGTTTTTGATCCATGTAATTTTTTAAGTGGGAACTAAACGATCTTTTTTTTTTCAACATGACGGACTTAACTTATCAAGTTCAATGCGCAGTCTATTACAATAGCTCTTTCAAGATATCAATGTATCATTCCATTTAATTTTTTATTCACCTTTTATTTTTATAGAGATGCATAAAAGTTCTGCTCTTCAACACAACGCTTGAATGTTTCCAACATCTTGAACATGGTCTGACATTTTGGCGGCTTTTATTTTGTCAAATCACCACCTATAATCGCTATATCATAAATACTATGAAGAAAGCGTTTTATTGACCCGAGTTCTTAAATTAATGTGAGCTCAATCCCGACTTTAAAAAGCTATTTTGACGAACGAACTAACTTGTACTAAACAATGTAAGACGATAAAACGATAAAAAAAATATTGTCAATATTTTGCCAATAAGATTTTTTGAGCGGGGGGTATTTTAATGAGGCGGGCGGCAATTCCAAACAAACTATAATTTTATTTTGGCCTAATGGACTTGCTTCAGATGCTGAATTCGACACACATTTTCCAGATAATGGACCTCGTAAAAGTTATGGGTGCAGGTCTATTACCAAGAAACTTTAAGACTTATATAAACCAAACTTGCACAAATGATGCATCAAGGGATAAAACTCTCAAACTTGCTTCAGATGCTGGATTTTAATTACGTTTTAATGATGAAGTACTAGTTTGAAGTTTTTCCAAAGTATCAAATCAAAATTGCATAAATTTTGCATTTTTTGGATGTACACTTTTTGTTGGTTAATTGTGTGACTTTGCCTTACTTAAAGACAACATTCGTTGAGGTGAGCTCTGTAATCTCTGATTACCTATGTTTTTTGCTTTACAGCCCCCTCCTCCCTGGATGAATGCCCAGTCTCTGTATAACTACACTGCCTCAGAACTTACTCCCAGTGAAAGCCTGATGACTGAGGAAGAAGAGGAAGTAGGGGTCAGTATTATATGACTGATAGAATATTTCTTGTATCATGTTGCATTTTCATACACTGGTAAGCTGTAAAGCTTAACGTAATAAATAAAAAAGAATGTCAGCATTTCCCAGCTGATATTCATGAATGCAATGAAGAACACTGTATGTGAAGTTTGAGCTATTGTACTTTATTTCCCTCTTATATTGTATAATACTTATTTCAACAGGCTAAAGCAAAAACTGGACTACCCTCAAGAAATAGTCAGTCTACTTTAAATAGAGGCCAATCCCTGCAGAACAATCCCTTTGATTATGAGGAGAATGCTGACAATGACAGCTCCCTGTCTACCCCCTCCAACAGTTACTGGGATAGTCCCTTTAATCAGGATTATCTGGGGGACACTGTCATCAATCTAGACAAGGTAAAAATCAATTTTAATCATTTTGAATTGTTTGTGGGAATTGCAGTTTCAGTACCCAGATTTTTCAAATACTTTTTTGGATCTATTTTTGAGTTTAACAGCTTGTTGACTTGAATAAGTATACTGTAGACGTACTTTTTTCCACGGGGTCATAAATTCGTGGAATCTCAATTTCTGTTTAATCCGCGTGTAGAAAATTACGCACATTTCCTAGACTGTCACTATATGCCTTACTTTTACATTAGGAACGCTTGGACAAATTTTCGCGGAAAATTTGTGACCGTGTACATAGCATAAATTAATACCACGCGGAAAAAAGTTTCTACAGTACTTTTTCCACATTTGAAAATGTTAAATATACCCACCATTGTCAGATTTTTTCTCATTACATGTAGTTGAACAGCATAATTTTTAGACAGAAATTGCAAGCCCTTAAGATTAACTGTTTGGTTTTGCTTTCATGAACCTGGTACATGAACCAAAAATTGATGTGTGAAAATGATTTATAAAGAAAAACAACAATAAGATTGGTAAATAATGATAGTAAAGAGTAAGAACTATAAATGTATTTTTCAGGCCCTGGCAAGAATGAGGGAGTATGACAGGAAGATAGCTGAGGGTGAGGCCAATGCCAGAGCCCTGACCCAGCAGAGAGAACAGAGGGAGCAGGCCCTGATGAGGGGAGCAGAACCAGCCAGTAGTTCAGCTGTAGATCAAGGCAGTGAGAGCTCATTCTCCTCTATGTCGGTATGTGTTAATTAAATGTGTAGTATCTCAAAGATCAAGAAATACTTGTGGGCTAAGTGTTGGTAAACTAATACATGTTAAACTTAAGTGTCAGAAAAACAATTATTTTGTATCTCATATATGATATGCAATATTTTTGATAAATGGACTATAAAATGGAAAGCTCTGAATTAAAAGTTGTTTAGGGGCAAAACATAAAAATTGTCTTGGGTTTTAATCAAAATTCCAATGGGATTATTTCCTTATTAGTATCCAAAGATAGACACTCAGCAGTTAGATCATCAGATAAAAGGCATCATGAAGGAGGTGATCCCAGTGATCAAGGAGAATATGGACAGTGTGTGTTCTACTCAGCTCCTGGCTTACATCAAACGATTAGTTCTCTCCCTGGCCAGACAAGGGGAGGATACTCAGTACTCCAGATTCTTCAGCAATCAGATGTCCTCTACACTACAAGACACGCTGGCTAAGTACGAGGGCAGAAAGTAAGTGGCTATGTTCTTATCACGTTTTAAATTGTCACTTTCCATAAACAATATTTTGTTGTTCTCAACTTCAAAGTGATATAGTATTTCTCTTTGCTGCTAATGTGGATTTTGAGAGTTTGTGATTTGTTGATATTAAATAAGTGCAATACATGACCACAAAGACTCTGCAAAACACTTTTTAAACGTTCCATTTCAAGAAAGGTTATAAGTGTTGATTATTGCTTTATGTACAAGAGTTGAATTATTTCTAATAGGATGAGACAATGTGGTGAGGATTTGTTGGTGGACATGTCAGAAGCTCTGTTTAATGAGCTGGCTTTCTTCAAGCTAATGGAGGGACTGGGAGAACCAGCCTCCTACTCAGCTGACGAGTACTGCTCAGCTGCCACACAGGTCAGTCTCAGTAATTCATAGCTATAGCGAACAAACTCGTAATAAATTGACTCTTACAGTTAAGTGATTGTTCTTCTCCATGGCTGTAAAATTTATTATGAACTTAAAAGATATGACAAATTATGTTTTTAACAGAGCAAAATTGTCAGTTCTGTGCTCTTCATTTTGAGAATGTTTAAATGTATTTAATAATTAGATAAAATCTGTAAAAATATTTCAAACATGCACTGCATATGTTAATGAAAGCACAGTTGAGTGACTTGTACTTAAATTTTCCTTGATCTGTAGACTCCAGGCTTTGATGATGATGACACTGGGTTAGAACAGCCAGGTAAGACAGATGAGTCGGACACGACAGAGACGGTGACGGACGAGGACGGAGAGACCCTCAACTCCTCAGTCAGGGTCAACGACAAAGAGGAAGAGGAAAACCTTGGAAAGGTACCGGATACTAACCTTCTCTGTAAATAGCCTACTTCAAACAATCGAACATTTGGGTGAAATCAGTGATTTTTAAACAGATATTGCAGTATTATTTGCATCTTTTGTAGGCAAGAGATGATGCACTGGCCAATGAAGTACTTATCCAGGACTCGGAGGATAAAGATGATGACAGTGAATTTCCTTATAAGACATCTCCAGTACAGATAGAATTAGCTCCCAGTGAGACCAAACCTTTCACCAGGTATGTATTGTTTTTAATGTCTGTTTCATACATTAAATTGTTGGGTAAAATTCATGTTAATTTCAAAAATGTATATATTATAAACAAAAGATGAACCATATGCACATTTAAAAAGATTTCATGTGTAAAAAAAAATATTAAATTAAAAGATTGATTTAAGAATACTTTTCTCAGGATATATGTATAAATGTATGTATGTAACTTGGCAAAAAAGTAATTAGACATATTAATTTATTTCAATAAAATAGACTTTTTCCCTTAAAGCTATTTTTTTTAATCCTTGTAGGATCGGAAGCGATGAAGACGATGAGGATGCTGATGAGTCTCAGAGTGCTGATGATCCCTCTGATACAGCAGTGTCACACCTGATGGAGTGTTCTATGGAGGGAGACGGAACAGTGGACGAGGATTACGTTCCGGACGAAAACGACGAGGACCAGGGGGCACGCAGTGATTCTACTTCTCCCCAGAAAGACACGCCCACTCCCGAAAAAGCCACACCCACCAAAGATAGCCCTGCCAAGGAACCTACTTCAAATGTTCAGGTCAATGGACATGTAAGGAAAACAATTTTTATAATTTCCAAAAATAAATATCTCTGTATTTCTTGAAGAAATAGATGAGTATGAACACTGCAAACCAATGAAGAATTTGTCAATTTTGTATCATAAAGAATATTGGGCCAAATTGTTGCTTTGCTTAAAAAAGACTTTATTCTGTAAATTCTTTTGACAGATGGAAGAGGAAAATGAGATCACAGTAGAAGATTTACCAACAGGAAATCTGAACGTCTCAAAAGTAAATAGATCATTTCAATCATTTTTGGTGACATTTATAGAAAAGACAAACATAAATGAAGACTGTCCTTATTTTGTAATTTATAGGAACAAATAGAGAACAAAATGAATGAAGAACAACAGAGTAATGGAGATGTCAATGCAATTTTATCCACCATGGATGGGAAGGAGGAGCTAGCTGGTGATGGACAGTTCCTCAAGGAACCTCCCACTGCTTAGTGTGGTCTTGGCTGGGTTGGTAGGATTTAACATACACTTGTATTGAAGTAATTTTATTGGGATTTTTTTGGTTTATTCAGAATCACTTCAATTAAATATCTTTGATTCAGATACCCTTTTTTCAGTCTGAAATTCTCAAATTAAATTTACTAGAATAAGGCTATTGAATTTAAAAAGCCACGGTACAAATACAGTATATCATGGTGCATAAATGTTCTCTTAGATGCTTATGTAACTTTATATACTGTATCCAGGGAAATTTTCTCCCGTATAGCCCTACCCTCATTTAGGCAAATTTAAAACAGGGTGAATTGAAAGAATAAACAGGGCAAAATTGTTTGCAAATGTGAAAGGGTGAAAATAACCCTGTATACAGGACATGTATGAGTAAAATTTGGTATTTTAACATTCATTTGGCTGGACTGGGGATTAGCTGTCTCATTAACCTCAGAGGGAGCCTGGGCTTTGCTTACAAGTCCGTAGAATTAGACAGTGTAGTCTAAGTATGGGTTTCAAAGATCTACATGTAAATTTCTTACAATCAATGTCAAGATTCTAATAGTTGTCCTTACATTTGCTGAGAGAAAAGGCCTAGTTGAGCATAAAATTACAAATACACCAGGCAAATATTGCTTTAAGGACTGTGAACATACCTTGAGATAACCAGGGCAGTTAAAGCAATATGAGCTACAAGTTTGATGTCGAAAGTTTTTGTTGCAATATTGTATTAATTAACTATTAATTTATATGACAGAAAAAAGAACATTTAGGATCTTTTCTTTATATTTCAGACAGAAGAACTATTTATGTGCTTTGATTGAAGCAAAATTTCATTATTGTCGTCCTGTACAATATTGATTTCTTATAATACTCTACATTCCTTTGTAGAAATCTTTCTTCTGAATAAAAAAATAATCTTTATATCCATTCAATTAAACATAATGGTTTAAATTACATACAGGTTTATCATAATAGCATATTTTAACAGCAAAATTAATTTCTCCAAAATGCAGCTCATATTGCTTTAAAATTACCGAGATGAGATCAAAATATTCAAGTTTTTTTCAGACTATTTTTATAGTAAATACTGTCAGGACTCGGGACAAAGGTTGTCATTTGAAGTTCAGTTCTTGAGTACAAAAATTAACCTGTAAATGTTACAAGTGATGATGAATGTTATTTGTCTTTTAAAGGTTTCAGTTTTTTCTTTAAAATATTTTTGTAGGTGGCCATTGTTCAACGATAGAGGTAGTTCTGCCAAAGAAGCTTTTCTGATAGAAATAAAAATGCACACTTTGTGCAAGGAATGTTAAATGTTTAAGGAAATTGTTACTTTGTTAATTCTATTTAAGACTTGATATAATTGACAATTGATGTCAAATAAATTAATTGTTTCATTGTGTTTTTATTAAAATGCTAGTTGAGATACCATTGTATCCTCTGTCCTGATACTTTATATACTTTTTCTTCTGTTGTAAACTCATATTAAAAATTTGACAATGCCAACATTCAGTTAATAAAACTTAATAAAACAAGACTTTAGTCTAAATGAGCATGTACCTTCATAAATTTTATTAATGTTTCTTTCTATCAAAGACCAAGTGTGTGCAATTTATAGTTTATAAGCACATTGACACATGAATTCATCGTTTTCGGCTTTTCAATCATATACATGGAAAATACAGGGTTTGAAATGTAACATTTATTGTGCACAGTGAACATTTCATCTTAAAACATGCTATGATAACCACACTGGCATTGGTATATTTGTTTATGAATGGGACCAAGAAATACTGTTTATGTAATACGGGGGAGGTGATGTCAAAATGAGCAATTGTGTATCTAAATATCATTGGTCACCTGTACATCTTTAATGAATTTTTTCACAGTTTGTAAATATACTGTATATGTGAGAATGAAATAATTTTCTGTTGAAATTAAATAAAAACAAAATTTTTATCAAATTGTATATCAAAATAATGTTTGTTGTTCGTATAGTAAATTACCTGTCAATTTTATCAAAATTTACCATGTGATACTTGTGCATATTACATGCATTAGATGTAGAATCTCAATATTAATTCGTTAAGATCTGTAATTATTTGCTGATGTTATACAATATCTGTGAAGGAGAACCAACACATTCCATTATTTTGTTGTGATATTATATCTGACACATCATCTAGGTCATCCGTCCACAAAATGTTCACTCTTTAAAATATTTTTACTGAATTACAATCAGAGGCTATATCGTATCAAGTTGCAAAATGTTTATTTTGTTCCGTATTGTATATTTCTTTGTGTGTGTGTTTTTTTTTTTAAAGTTGTGCTACTTAAGATTATAGGGTTGTCATTTGTTAATAACTTGGATAGGTATAAATTAAATAAAATTGTCAGAATTCTCTGTGTGTATTATGTTCTATATTTCATGTATTACAGAGAAAGCAATTTAAACTTCAAAGCACTAAAGCCAGCCTGGTAAGCACTTGCATAGTTACAAAATTTTCTTTAAAAAGAAAAGGGATACCTTATTATGCCTCAAGCAAAAGAAGTGGAGGGGGGATATATAAGAGTCACCTTGACTGTCTGTCTGAGCAAAGGTGTCTGCATGTCCATTTTCTTACAAAAGAACATAAATTCTACTACTTCACACTAAAAATTTTTATAACTTGTATCTTGTCCGTATTTTTCTTATGGATATCTTGTTGAGTTCCAATTTTGCACAAAGACTTATGACCTGACCTGATGATTTCCGAAGACCTTGGCCGAAGGTCATTTGTTCAAGGTCACTAAAAGAAAAAGTTCATTCAGTAATTGATGAAAATGAGTCAGTTTTGTTTATTTTTAGGTATGTACATATACAAAATGAACTTTTATTTTCTGAGAAAAAAAATATGACACTGTTGACTGAAAAAAGAGAAGTTTTGGTTATTTTATGAGCTTAATTTAAGTTTGTGGGTTACTGAGAAAAAAAATATGACACTGTTGATATCTGAAAAAAGAGAAGTTTTGGTTATTTTATGAGCTTAAGTTTTTTATGTTAAAAGGCTAGCTACACCTGTTTAAGGGTTATGACCAAGGTTAACATTTTATAAGATAGGACAAACTCTGGGTCAAGGTCAAAAGGTCAAGGTTGTTGGTTTTTAAAGAAAGGCCTTGTCTCAAAGATTACATATGGAAAGTATGAAAGCGCTGGCCCTTACAGTTCAAAAGTTATTGCCAAGGTTCAAGTCTATAAAAAGTACGTCAAACTCTAAGGTCAAGGTAAAAGGGTCAAGATTCTTGATATCAAGTGAAAGGTCTTCTCACAAGGATTACACATGTTTTTTTGTTCTATAGTTATGGCCAAGGTTAAAGTTTGTAAAAAGTAGGTCAAACTCCAAGGTCAAAGGGTCAAGGTTGTTGATATCAAATGAAAGGTCTTGTCACAAGGATTAAATTTGTGAAGTATGAATGCCCTAGTCATATCCCTCCAAAAATTATGGTAAAGGTTGTATGTTTAAAAGGTTTTAAAGGGTCACAAGATTATATATGTGAAGTATGAAAGCCCTAGCACTTATTGTTTAAAAGTTATAGCCAAGGTTCAAGTTTTTTCATAGGTACTGACATCTCCAAGGTCAAAAGGTTAAGGTTGTTGGTATCCAATGAAAGGTCTTTTAAATTTTTTAGTAAAAGTGGATCAAACTCCAAGGTCAAAAGGTCAAATTTGGTGCTACCCAAATAAAGGTCTTGTCACAAGGAATACACATGTGAAATATGAATGTCATAGCACTCCACTAAATCAAAAGTTATAGGCAACTTTAAAGTTTTTGCAGACAAAGAGACATACAGACAGACGGACGGACACGACAAAAACTACTTCATTTACGGGGGCATAAAAATATGTTGACTTACCCCCCCCCCCCCCATTAGATTAATCTGTGTCTCGGGGTAAGTCCTCACTACAAAGTTGATCTGCAGTCATATATCATTTTAAATCCCCATGATGCTTCCTGCGCAGAGAAAAATATCTTAATATGATACCATACGCTAGTTATGGTGGAAGCTACTTCAAGCTAGGCTTTCAATGTTACCCGGAAAATGATCGTTATGATTTAACTTTTACTGTGCGAACACTGTTTCCGGTATTGTTTCTGCTGCCGAACTCTGCATTGAGTGTTTTATTTTTGATAACGCTGCATGAACCAGGCGTTGCTCATTGATAATTATACATGGAGCATATTGGAAAACAAGTGAAGGTTATCCTAAAAGATGGCTCTCAGTTTGAAGGCTTTGTCCACTCTATGAACATAGACACTGGCAAACTTGCACTGCACAAAGGTACTTTTTTCACTTTCTTACCTACTTCATAAATCAGTAGATTCAGTAACAATTCAGTAATCTTTTAGTTTTACAAAAAATATTGTTTCTGTGAATATTTTTTTTTAAAAAATTCTTACAATGCATTTACACCGGTCTATTGCATCTATTTTTTATCAAATGAATGGCATTTGCATTTTTAGAATCTTTGTTTGGTTCTAAAAAAATGTTTCGATTTATTCCTTCAGGTTAGATGCATTGATTAACATGTAACATGAAAGAGAAAATAGAACTAGGCCTATATTTAAATTCATGATTACAGATAGAAAAACGTTTTTGAGTGACTGGCATATGATATATCTTCAAATATTTCAACTAAAAGTAAAACTTTTAAGAATGAATCTGCCAGAGTGTACATCTCAAGTTTATTTTTTGACTGTTAGTGTTTCAGAATTGATTATTTTTCAGACATAACCCCTTAGAATAAGTGTTATTTTCCAATGTTTTTACTGAGTGGTAAAAATATGATATTTTGCTGCTGCATGGTCTGTATGATACTGAACCAGAGATGTTTGACTGACCACAATGAAAGTTTTTTTTTGTTTTTCCTAACCATCACTGTCACCTTATATTTAAATCCTCAGCTTCAGCAGGATCATTTAAAAAGAGTCAACAAGAATACAGATGTCAATTTATATGTTGAATCATATCTATGTTATTATAAAAATTAAAAGCTTAATTAATTTTTGTCACAGGTTTTTTTCTGTTGAAATGTTATTTTCCTTAAAACCAATTAAAATTGTTGCCATGGGCTTGAAGACCTTTGGCAAATAGTGTACATGTAATTGTCTAGTCCAACAAAAAAACATGATGCTGGTGAAATCAGTCAATTAATAGCACTTACTTATCATGTTAAGTATATTACTTGTTCCTTTAATAGATTATCAATTGAGTAAACAGGACATACAATAGTCCTTAAGAAACATATTAAGATTATTTGTGATTGAGTGAATAATCCCTCTTATGTGTACTTAATTTCCTTTTCTTATACATTTACAAGAAGATATTGTTATAGAATTAGCTTGAAGACAAACAAAACTGTACCACATCAAAAAGATTCTTGTATTTAGTGTCAAACACTTAAGAGTGAGAGTAAATGATACAAATGAAATGATAGTATTAAATTTATTCAATGATATAAAAAAATGTGAAAACTTGCAGTTAAAAAATTTTAAAAAGTGCATTACATCATGTTTATTCTACAAATCAATTTTAAAATCTTCTCTGGAAATAGAAATATGTGCTCATCATCTGTTTTTAAGAAAATGCCATAGATTTCAGAACTGCAATTTCATAATTAAGAAACAAGGGATTTTTTGATGCAGTACGTAGACAAAACATAATCCAGATTTTATCAACTAGGGATGTGCAATTTTATCAGTATACCGGTATATCGCGATTTTTTTGTTGCGTGATACGTATCAAGATATGGAGACCTAAATAGCGTCATTTAGGTACATATTATAAAGTCCAGAAATTATTCATTTATTTGTTCAATCTTTCAAATTACAATTACAGAAAGTATAAAAAATGTTGTAAAAAGGGAAAAGAACTGCATCTTACCATCCAAACATAATTGATTTTATATACATAAAAATTTCAAGAAAGTAAAATTTTGTTTTTCCCGTATATTTCTTAGAAAAATAATGACTTTTCATATAAAATCATTGTAAAAACTGCTTTTAAAAATATCATGATATTATCATAATATTGTGGGGAAAAATCGTGATATATTGCGATACGAAATTTTTGGCAATACCCATCCCTATTATCAACATTGTTACATTTTTATTCTGTCATAATTTCATGTTTATTTTAGTTACAAATGAAGATGGAAAAAAGCTTCAAGGGATACAGCACTTTTTTAATGATGAAATACAGAATAGTAAGTACTGTAAAATCTCAAATATTCATAGGGTCAGATATTAGAGGTTTGAGGGAAAAATATTGGTTTGTGGGGATTTGATGTCATGGTTGAAAAATGTAAAGTAGTGATCCATTGAAAATTTACATTTCGTGATGGTGATAATTATGTGAATTTCTCCATACCATGAAAAACGAAAATAAAAACCCAACGAAAATTAGTGATTTCACAGTTACTATAATTGCATAGCTTTCATCAGAATCCTCTAAATATTAAATTCTCAACATCATTAAGTACTAGCAAGATAAATTTGAACTGTTTATTTGGATCAGCTGAACTACCCATTCAGCTTTACTTCATGAGGTGTTACATTTTAAATGAAATCATTACCTTCTAGTTTTTAAAAATTTTTCCCCTAAATTTTCTTTTCAGTTTACGCCTTTGAAAAAGAACTACTAGCATCCAGCAAGAATACAGAAGAAAAATTGGTGGATAAAAGGTAGGATAAATAATAATTTAAAGAAATTTATTTTATCAAAGGAGGGTTCTATTATACTGTTTTACCCTTGTGCATCTGTCTATCTGTGTGTGTGTCTGTCCGTAACAAATTTTGGTCGCAGTTTTCTAAGCAACTACTCATTGCTGATGCTTGAAATTTTAACACAATCTTCTGTGAGGCATGCCATATGGTGGGATTCATTTTTGGTCAACTCCGATGACAACTTCCTGCTTATCTGTACATCTGACTGTTTCATACATAACAAATTTTTGTCACAGTTTTCTAAGCAACTACTCATCGCAGATGCTTGAAAATTTAGTATATACTTTGTTAAGGCATGCAGTACAGAGGGATTAATTTTTATATGAATCTGATGTCAACTTCCTATTTATCTGTGCATCTATCCATAACTGAACTTATGTTTATTAAAATGATATTGCATATTCACATCAGAGCCGGGGTAATACTAGTAAGCATTGGCTCACAGACTTCTTGTTTTTTCCCGCTTTTTGTTTATTTGTTACCCTATTTCTAAATTAATAGTCAAAATTGAATTTTGAAGATTGACAAAGGGTTTTTAATTCTAAGGGGTAAGTTTCTAAGCAGGCTGATATTATAGGTAAGAAATTATTGTTTGAAAAATCAAATGCCATTGCTTATCATGTAGTTATTTGTAATTTATAATTTATTTGTATTTTAATGCATATGCAGGGAAAAAATATGTGCATTTAATAATTAACTCCTCTTTAGCCTTAAATATATGGGCTGAAATGAATTGTGATTATTCAATTTAAATATAATATTAAAAATTATTTTGCAGAGAGAGTGGAAGGAAGATGATCCACTCGAAGTATGTACCAGCTCATCTACAGAGAATGCGGGACTTTAACCGCAACTCTGTTTTATTGTCCAACATATCCACTAATGGTGTAGACAATACAGTCAAACAAGGTAATGTTTTAATGGACTCCAGAAACACTATAATGCCAGGAGAATAAATATTTGATTCTTGTTGTTTTAATGTTGACCTCCCTAAATATTAATCATAGATATGTTTGTTTTATTTCTGTTGATCAATCTAAGAAATATATCTTTTTATCTCCATGATTTCTTACAGATAACAAAAGTTCTGATTACGACTCAAGCAGTGACCCTGAGACTCTGGAAGCAGGCACCAATGCTCCTTATGTGGTCATCAATAAAATGGACAGGAAATACCAAGATGCTGTATGATTACTTTTACACATTCTGGTCTTTTTATAGTTAATCAAGCAAGCTTGAAGAATTAATACAAACACAACTTTGTCAAGATAATTGGGTGAAATAACTATGCATGTTCGCACAGTAAAGATAATTTTTTGTATGTTTTATGTATATTTTTGGTTATAATAATTGTAGATTGAAGCAGTCCTGAATTGTGCTGTGGTAGGGTTGGCCATGCAGGGTGTATGTATAGGAAGATCTGGAGAGGTCTGTTGGGTACAGGTAAGTAACTCTATAAATGTCCGAGTGTTATTGGAATTTTTCAGTTTACTGCTCTATGATTTTTTATCAAAGAGATAAACTTTGATAATGTGTAATATATCCATTCCATATGTGTATTTATTTTTTTTTTCAAATGAAAAGAAAGAAAGTACACAACAGTCATTTATAAGTTCATGACCTTTTTCTGCTTTTCAAACTTTGAAAATTATGATTGCCCAGAGAATATTACACAAAGAGTATTTTGAAATAAATACAACACATATAATATTTTTTGATTTGTAATTTTTCAGTTTGCAACTGACAGAAATGTATTTCTGTTTGATGTGCTTGAGCTGTCAGCAAATTGCTTTGAAGAAGGAATTAAAATTATTCTGGAAAATCCTGACATTTTAAAAGTAAGTAGGCATCAGAAAGATTAAGGGGATATATACAAAACAAAAATGCTAAAGTTGGAATGTATTATTTTCTAACCAAGACTTATGAAACATTGTATTTTAAAAGGGTTACATATTTTTCTCATATTACACAACTGTAATAAAAAATGTCACTCATCATATAATTTCCTTGCACAAATATGTACCATCATGTTCATATATTTGCAACTTAAACAAAAATCTTTAGCTTGTCTTTCTGTTACAGGTAACCCATGACTGTCGGTTGATGTCTGATTATCTATTCCACTGTCACAACATCAAGCTTGTCAATGTTTTTGACACACAGGTGAGCGGGAGATTAAAATTATATGGAAAAAGAAACACCTATGGTAAATTTGTTTTCGTAAAGACGATAAAGTACATGACATTACTGGTACCATTTTACTAAGCAAATAAGCATAAAAAATGCTTAATTGAAAGTTATACCAGTAAAGACTTCATTTTATTGCAAGCCACATGTTTCTGAGTTCATTCTAATTCTACAATCAGTTTTACAGAAATAGACTGGAAACAAAAGACTATGACTTGCAATGATATTTCAAAGATTTGATTTTATCCTCAAAGCATTTGAATTGTAAACTATGATAGGAATGTCTGGCACTATGATTATCTTTTAAACGTAAATAGATTAAACTTGGAAAATACATTCAGGTACACAAGAGTTAGCTCTCTTTTATCTCATAAGTGGGGGAAAAGTATTTGAATTCATGAAATGTTTTGCAAGCGTGAATATTTAAAAAGAATGCTCTATACAGGAAGTTTTAAATCTCATGTTTGTTATTTATACCCGCCCCCTTTCTACAAACAAACAAAGTTTCATTTCAAGGTGTTCTGTAAACCACTTTCAATTCTTGAGAACTTTATGCTAGCCAAAGTTTTATCTGTGCATATATTTGTATTCTTCAAATTCATATTGAACAGTAACCAAAATTCTTGAAATTTTGTGTTAAATTTTGTTGGGGAGAAAAGATATAAGGTACCTTGTCCTATTCCAGATTCATTTAAAATTAATTAGTGTTTAAGTTTAAAATCAAAATAAGACTGTAAATAAATAGGATTCAGTATCTGAGTTATACACTGTAGTGTTAAAGTTATGCTTTCATTTTCCTTTATTTTCTTGACTTTTTAGTTCACCTGAGCTGAAAGCTGAAAGGCCAATGGGCCTCAAGGTGTGTCCCCGAAAATATGGCTATTCTTAATGTTTACATCATTGATTAATAATAATCAAACATTCATTGATTTGTGTTTCTATTTAAGGTGGCTGATGTGTTTGTGGATCGCCTATTCAAGAGAGGCGACTGGCCTCGCTTTGTCAAAGGTCTTGCTGATTGTGCACTGAATAACCTTGACCTGGAGCCTGAGCAAGTTTTTGATCTGAAGACCAGGGAGAAGTGTAAAAAGGTGATATCACTTAATGGAAAAGTCGATCTCAAATTGATGTCACATAGTGGAAAAGTCAGTGTCAAGTACAGTAACAAGAAATTAATTGATAGAAAAGGGCTATTTTCTTATGCAAATAAAGAGTCTTTCTTCTAAATCAATAAAATATTGTTCTGAATTGACTACAAGTGTAATTACCATTTCATATGATGCAATATCAAAAAAAATTGCATTTGTGAAAATTAATTTTTTTTTTTGAACAGAGTGATGAGGAGATTTGGGCTACCCGTCCCATCAGTCGACAGCTGTTAGATGCTCTCTATAAAAATGTAGTTCATTTACGGCCACTACGACAGGTCCTCATTGAGAAAATGATGGCAGAATACGTAGCAGGCGTTGATGTTTATCTGTCTCAGGTCCGGGACTCCTCCATGAAAGACGCCAAAATGCACCAGGTTAGCTCCAGAATATAATCATGCATATGCAAATTTTCCCATAATAATGTTACATTTCTTCAATTTGAAGCAGTTTATGAAATGAAATGCAATTTCAAAGGTTTAAGAGAGGAATTTATGTATTTTATCTTGATTTCTATAAGTAGAAAACTTTTAGTAAAGTGTATTCTACATATACATGTACATGTACTTCTTTATGTAGAAAAGAGAAACCTTATTTTTCATGTAAATAAAGATAGCTTGTACAAAAGAATTGGCAAACTACATCTCATAGCTCACTATGTCTATATACAGACTAAATAACAAAGTGTAGGATAAAATCTCATACATTCTATATCTTTTATATCTCTCTGCAGGCCAATCTTCTACCTATGGCATTTCAAGGCCTACGAAAGCTGATGCCTCACTATCACAGTTATCAATGGAATAATAACAGAAAGCTAGATTCTGAGACCTCTAACGTGAAGGGCTTCACAGACAATGTGGTACCTATACGGGACCCCAAAGTTATCATCAGTCATGACTCTATATGGCATCAAGGGCCATATCAGGGTAAGTCTTGAAGATTCTTCACTGCATTCTTAAATAATTTAATTTTAGTTGTAACACATCATTTGATTGGGTAAAAGATTTTATCCATTTTGTATAACATGACTTGCCTACGTCAGATTGAGTTACGTCAAAAGCATATTTCTTTCATACGTTACTTTTAAATAATATGCTATATTTTAAGCCTTTTCAGGAGGAAAAATTGTCTCATTGTCTATGTACTAATACACTGAAATTAAATTATAAGGAATAAAGCTTATTTCAACTAATGTTATATGATATAACATAACTTGGGGCAGTTTATGCTTTTTTTATAAACTGCGAAGCGGTTTATAAAGTGTAAACTGCCCCAAGTTATGTTATATCATATAACAAAATTTGAAATAAGCTTCATTCCTTAATTAAATTCTTATAGCAAAATATGTTACTTTAATTTGTTGTGCATCTAAGATATTTAAAATGGGCGGAAATTTTAATCTTAGTTGTACAAAGCATTTTTGTGCAAAGGGAAATTTAAATTGTCAAATGAAGAACCAAACCCCTAACAAGATAATCAAGGAAAGACAAAAGTAGGGACGGGTCATTACATGTAATCATCATCACATTTTGTCTGTGGTCTGTCTAGATGTATGTCTGTCTTTAAATTTTTCACATTTTCAACTTCTCAAGAACCACTGGGCCAATTTTAACAAAATTTGGTACAAAGCATTTTTGGGCATGGGGAAATCTAAATTGTTAAAAGAAGGGCCAAGCCTCTTATGAGGAGAGATAATCAAGAAAAAACAAAAATAGGAGGGGTCATAAAAAATCTTCTTTTCAAGAACCACTGGGCCAGAAAAGCTGAACCATGGAGCAGTGTAAATTCTAAACTATTCAAATCATGACTCCCAGGGTAGGGTGGGGCCACAATAGGGAAACCAAATTTCACATTGAAATATATAGCTAAAATCTTCTTCACAAGAACCACTCGATGGACCAGAAAAGCTGAATTTTTTTTGAAAGCATCCAGGGTTGGAGTAGAGTCTAAATTGTTCAAATTATGACCCAAAATGGTAGTATGGGGCCTCGATAGGGAATTCATTTTTTTTCACTAAATCTTTTTCTAAAGAACCACTGGGCCAATTCAAATCATGTCTCTTTGGGGGTAGGGTAGAGCCAAACGAAAGTGAGTATTACAAAGGGAAAAGACAGCAGGACCAAAGCTCCCGAAGTGATCAGTGTGGCCCATGGGCCTCTTGTTTATATTCTTTTATATGCTAAAAAGTGATTTATTATTAGTTGATTATACTTTCTTTCACTTCAGGTCAGCATATGTTCAAGCAAGTGGCAAGTCATTTGAAGTTTGTAAATGAAGATGGAACTCCAGTCAATTTGGAAAATCACCAGAAAGAGGGTACTTCTGAAAAGATGGAAAATCAGAGATCTGTTAATACTTCTACCTCATCAGCTATCAGTCCTCATGTCAGCCCAGTCAAGAAAATGGACCAAACCCAACCCCAGAATGTAGGTGTGCCTCTGTCAAATGGTGAAGAAAAGAGAAGCCCAGCATCTCCAATGAAAGGTCTCTCACATATGAAAGAAGTTTTGGAAATGCAGAAAGCGATGAAGGAGTCTGAATTGGAGGAGGTGTCAGCTGGGACATTGATAAGATCCGTTCTGAAGCAGACGGATCCCAAGAAACTGGAACACAAGGAGGAGGATGATGAAGCCTACGCATTCAGACCAGCGGGTGTTATGATACATGCCAAGAAGAATGACAAGACGACGACAAAGAGACAGAGAGAGGTGGATGAGCTGGAGTTAGAGATGGCTCAGTACGTCATGGAGAATCAGAATCTAGAAAATTCAGAGCAGGAGGAACAGGGTTATGATGACTGGGGAGGCACTAGAAAGAACCTTGTTCTTGACACACAGGAAAAGAAGGAGGACACTTTATTGAAGAACTTTCTAGCAATGGCCGCCAAGGCGAATGCAATTAAACAGTCTAACTTTGACCATCAACTAAATTCCGTCCCAACTTATACCAGTCTTGGAGGTTGTACTGTAGTCCCAGATTATGCTGCTGTGAGAAGTCCTCCATCTGTTGTAAGTGATACTCAGGGAAGCCTTTTATCTCCTCAACAAAACATGGAAAACTATTCCACCCAACATGAAAACTTGGTAAGTGATGATAATCACAGTGTGCTAAGTTCTGACACCCTGACACAAGGTAGTATCCCAAGTTCTCATCAGAGATCCACTAGCACAGGTCACCTAACTCAGCACCGGTGTCTGTATCGAGGCCAGATATCCAGGGCTAAATCACCCTCAACCTCCCAGAGTGGGGGGTCAGCTCTCAACACCAGCTTACCATCATCATTTGAACAGTCCATTTCAAATCAGAGATCTATCAGTTTACCTACGACACCTATCAGCAACAGTGAGAGGTCTCAGGAAAATCCTCAGCAAAACGGAACTACAAATGTGTTAAATGGTGCAACACCTTCTATTGCAAATCTTTCCAAACTAGCCTCTATTATTACTAAATCTTCAATGAGATCTACATCATCTGCTGATAGAGAGCATTCTAGAGACTTGACCAATTCCTCAGTGTCATCCACACCTCCTAAACCCACCAGCAGTGTTCAGGAAGCATCCTTTACTAACCATGTTTTATCAGCCGTCCACTCCTCAGAGTCTTCTAGATCCACCACCAGTGTTCAAAAGCCATCCAATAATGACAGTCCACATTCATCATCTGCAGGTATGAATGGGTACACACAGAATTCTGTAAAAAGTCCAGAAAGTGTGAGTGCAGCTCTGTCATCTACAAACAGCAAAATACAGAGACTGAAAATTCTTGCAGACGCCATGAAAAAGCCTCAGTAATGATACCATCATTTTGTTTAAAGCCAGACATGAGTAGATTGATACATCTTTCAACTGAAGTGAATTTATCATAATAGAACATCATTTATAGTAAACAGTACAATATAACAGGTAAACAATGTCAATGTTTTGTACCAATTTCAAAGAAAAATTATTACATGTAATTGATTCTGTAAGAAGTAATGTAAACATTGAATATAAAATCTGGTAATTCTTTTTATCAAATTGATTCACATTCAAATGATTTCTTGTGAAGAACCACACTAATCAAACCAACAAGTCAAACAATTTGCAAATTCTTTCACTTCGGCAAAAATGTCTTCTCTGCTAATGTTTTGTTCCATGGAAATCACAAAATTTTACCTGGTAAAATTACCTCTATCCATGTTTACAGTACTCAATACTGCAAAATCACTAATTTTTGGATGGTCGACTTTCAAAGCTTAGGGAAAAATATTAATTAATTGATAAATGGTTGAAAAAGTGTGGATTTATTTGAATTTTGAATTTTTTTATTTCATGAAGGTAATAAATTTGTTAGCCTTTTCATATCACAAGAAGTATCAAAACAAAGAAAATGATACTTACCCTCCCCTTCCCTCCCCCACCACACACACACAAACACACCCTAATTAGTGGTTTTGATCAATTATTTGTTTGTTTTCAAGAGCACTACCAAAGTCATTTTTTTTAATAAAATGTAAACTTTCTAGTCTCTGTATTTTGGGCACTAGTATTTACAGAAACACATACATGTAGTGTCTTTGTTTCCTTGACAGAATATGTGTAGAACAGAATTTACATTTAAATTTATATCTGTCAGTTGGAATATTTCTTTGTTTCTTTAAACTAGACAATGGGATTGGGGAAATAAGTACAGTTGAACCTCAGTATCTTGAACACTGATATCTTGAATACCATGGATATGTCAGTGACTTGGAAGTCCTAAATACTTATTTCTTAAGTATTATATCTTTGATATCTTGGATCCTTGAACATCTCAAAACTTTTTTTTCTCAGTTTCACCGAGGTCTATATATCAAGGTTTGACTGTGTGTAGATTAATGGGACTCCACTGTTAATTTTTTTATATACAGTGGACCTTCAGATATCCGGATGCTTCAGTATCCGGACGATTTTTCTTCGGAACGGAAATTTTTTTACGTTATTTTGTCTTGTTTAACTGGTAATTCAGATATCCGAACACATCACATATACGGACAATTTGACTAGGAACCCAAGCGTCTGGATAAATGAGACTCCACTGTATACTGAAAGTGCCTAGTCATGATACTTGTATTAAATAGTCAATGACAATGTTTGTTCTAAATTTGGAAAATGCTTATTAATAAATAAGTGTAGTAAAACATGCTTAACGCTATAGTAAAGTGCCAGGAAGAATTTTAAATTGTTATTAATAATTTGTTATATCTTTTAAGGTTTTTTTCAAACTACAGGGAATGAAAATCAATTTTCTATCAGACTTAGTGTGAATTCATGATTAAGTCTAGTTATTTGGAAGCCTAAACTACTTTTCTTAGACTTATTTATTATTTTTGATACCTTGTACCCAGTGGTACCCTTGAATATTCTAATGTTTTTTTTTTTCTTGGTCCCATCCAGTTCAAGGATACATGTACTAGGTTTCACTCTGTGTTGATTTATTCTGGCATTTTTTAGAAGGATGAAACATTGTAATGATAGAAACTCAGAAATTGAGCATATGAAGTAAATCAGAACTAGTCAAAAGACAGATTTATTTTAGAAACTTCCTAAATATGCTCAAGATAAAGATGTATGTGTAAATCATTTCTTAAATTACACTCTTTAATACAGAAAAAAAGAAAATGTTGTAAATTTATATGAATTTAGTTTGCCTTATAGCAAATGCATGTAGTTTATTTGAGGTATTGGTGAATGCTGTCATAATTTTCTAGTTCATTAAGGTCTTCCGTTTCCAACAGTTAATTAATTAGTGTGTAAAATTTAAGGATCAACAGATTTATAGGCTTTCGTTTCCAGACAAAGGCTCAGAGACGGCTAAAGCTGGAGCAAGAATTCTACTGATTTTAGATAATAGAAGGATTGAAGTTGTGCACATCGATTTTTGTTTTTCAATTTCTCTATTCAAAATGGTGCTATATAGAGGTAAAAAATTAGAACGCTTAAAAGAGCCAAAAATTACTCATATTTTGCTTTTTATCTTCTAAACTAAAAATATTTTGTTAAAATATATAGAACATAATTTGTGCAGAATTAGAAGATCTTTCAAATGATATCTCGGAAAAAGGGCTGACCCCTAAATTAAGGGATCTAGAGGGGCCAAAAGTTTTTTCCAGATATCTCAAAAAGTATTGAGAATTTGCTATACATCAAAGAAGCAAAGTTGTTGAAAATCTCTGGTAAAATCTACTGATGTCATCAAAATACATCCTGTGACGTCACTTCTGGCCAATCCGGAAGTTGTCTGAAACTGCATATTTTTGCCGTTTTTGACATGTTTTGGGGAAATATTTGTCACTGGAAGCATGAAACTTAATTTTCCGTCCGTCGACGTCACTTCCGATCAAACAGGAAGTAACAAAAATGGCTTACTTTTGCAATTTTCAACATAGATTTGGAAGATTTAAATCATTAGAGACGTCATTTCTCTTTTTTTTTTAAAAATAAAAGTCACTTCAGGTTAAACAGGACGGAAGACCTACTCGTTGCTTTGCAATGAGCTTTGCTCTAGTTACATTAATAATTATAGAGAAATACAGCTATTGGCGCCATGCATTGAAACTTTGTGATGTAAATCTTGTGTAATTTTTATATCAGTATCTGATATATTCATTAAGATATAATTGTTTTTGCTTTTACTTGCCTAGTGGATGGAATGGAATTAGTTGTAATATACATGATTTTTGGCATAAATTGTTGTCCAAAAAAAAAATTGAGAGATCTTAAATCATATTGTAAAAAGCAGCTATTTTCACTAAATCTAGATCAAATGGCTTTTTTTTTTTTAGATACTTACAACACTGAATTATTGTATTGTTAATTAAGACCAGTACATTACAGGTATGCCTGAATATATATTTGAAATAAAAAAAATATATTGTTGTTAGAAATAATCAAAGAACATATTCTTTACGGTTAGATATTATGTAAAGAAATAATTATTAGTGTATTTCTTTTGTTAGATACATATATATGAGACTCAACAAGACAAATATATTTATGCATGCTTTTGTCCAAAATATTTGACGTTTTCCAGACTTTATTCTTTTATTTTAGTTTTTACAATTTTGAAAATATGAAATTGTTACAAGAATTAAAAAACCTGGAAACCGTCAGATATTTTGGATTATGCGTTTATATGTGGACTGGTTATTGTAGCAGTAGTAGACTCGTATTTCAAAAGAACTATTATATCATTTTCTTTTTTGAATTTTGAAAGAATGGGAAATATTCAAGTATATACATGCACTACTTTTATGTTGTGCATGGATCAGAATGAGATGTATGATGGCCATTAGGTGAAGTCGCCGGTTTGATGAGATTGTGCTGTAAACTTGTCTGATCTGGACTTGACTGGATTTTCTATCTGATTGTGACTGTTTACTCATATCAACTCACTCTCCATAAGATGTCAAATACATGCAATAGTTTTGCTGAATGTTTATAACGTATGTACTTGTAATTTTGATATTTTGCAATATAATGAGTAGATTGAACTTATATTTGAAACCGGTAAATTAGAATTGTACTTTTTATACAGCTTTAAACCTAGACATTGCAAGACATTAAGGAAATATAACATTAGTTGCATTTGAATTGTATTTTATGAATAATATTAAGTTTTTAAAAAAGATTTATGTGTTCCAAAACCTTTTTGTTACTGCGTTGACATAGACTATGCATTTTCTGGATTGTTTATAAGGCAATAAACATCCGATTATTTCTTACTTTAATTTGTCTAATTGTTTTCCATACTATATACCTGTATTTACACACCCTGTACATATTTACTGTATGGTTGCATCTTGCTGAGTTTTCACGAGCGCCGCAGTTATGAAACTATGTACTTACGCAGTTTTTATATGACAGGCTGGTTTTGGATGGTATTCAAAAAAGTCCTGCGCAGAAAAGAATACCATTTTAATTACAAATCTCATTTGTTAATGTTAGGAATAACTTGCGTAGTATATAAATTATTCCCTTTTGTACATTAAATTGTGCGTTAATAATTACATGTATCATCTTTATCTTGAAATTTCGCGAGGAACTAACTGAGGAACTAAAAAAAAGACGCCACTGTACTTTTACTGCCATAATTATTTAGATGTACCAAGCATATTTTTTTTATTATACCTTAAAAATGTATCCTATATAAATCTATACTATAAAAAGTCCAACATTCCCAATGTTTTACTTAGTGTGCATGGAGAAAAAACTCAGTCGATAGAGGGAAATTAAGATGTTGGACCTCTTACGTCACAGGGTTAGCGGGGTCAGCTATATCTAATTTGCATTTCTTTCAACAGAACTTGCAGTGCGGATAAACGAAATTTACTTCATGATATCTCAAAATAACAAGAGGCCCAGGGGCCACAGCGCTCACCTGAGCACATCGGCTAGAAAAAAGCACATATCAGATCAGAACTGAAAGTTTGCTGGGGGGGGGGGGGGGCTTGAATTTTAAACCCCCATGATTTGAAAAAAATTAGAATCTAAACTACCTGAGGATGATTCCATTTAAATAGAAAAATATCACTAATCATGGCTTTGAAGTACTTGAAAAGAAGATTTTAAAAGGTTTCCCTATATATCCCTATGTAAAATTTTGGTCGGCCATTTTGGCCCCACCCTAGCCCCAGGGGTCATGATTTGAACAAACTTGAATCTACACTACCTGAGGATGATTCCACATGTGTTTCATCTTTCCTGGCCCAGTGGTTCTTGAGAACAACATTTTTAAAGATGTTTCCAATATATTCCTATGTAAAACTTTGGTCGGCCATTTTGGCCCCACCCTAGCCCCAGGGGTCATGATTTGAACAAACTTGAATCTACACTACCTGAGGATGATTCCACATGAGTTTCATCTCTCCTGGCCCAGTGGTTCTCGAGAAGAAGATTTTCAAAGATTTTTTCTATATATTCCTATGTAAAACTTTGGTCGGCCATTTTGGCCCCACCCTAGCCCCAGGGGTCATGATTTGAACAAACTTGAATCTACACTACCTGAGGATGATTCCACATGAGTTTCATCTCTCCTGGCCCAGTGGTTCTTGAGAAGAAGATTTTTAAAGATTTTTTCTATATATTCCTATGTAAAACTTTGGTCGGCCATTTAACTGCCCTTCCAGAGAATTGGCCCCACCCTAGCCCCAGGGGTCATGATTTGAACAAACTTGAATCTACACTACCTGAGGATAATTCCACATGAGTTTCAACTTTCCTGGCCCAGTGGTTCTTGAGATGAAAATGTGAAAAGTTTACAACGACTACGACAACAACGACAGACAACGGACAAATTTTGAAAAGTAAAAGGTATAACATTTACCAACTGTGTTCTCGGTCAAAATGCTTTTTGTCGACTCCTCAAACCAACATGTTTGCCTTCGGCCTTACGC